CAGGCCCTTCTCAGTAAATCCTTACAAGAACAATTTCTAGGAAACACAGAGGGATCATGCCATGCCCCTGCTTAGCCCCCTTGGGCACTGCCCACTGCCCACTAGGCCCTGCACATCAGTGCTGGCTCTGTCCTGCAGCCCCTGGCCATCTTTAAGTGTCCCCTGGAGTGTGCTTCTGGAACCTTCTAGGCAAGAGCTTCCATCTCACTTCAGTTTAGAAATGTTTGTTGAGCACTCGTCCATCATGCCCGATACTGCTCTGGGCTCTGGGGATACCACGTGTATAAGACAAAAGCCCCTGCCCTCAGAGCCCTCCTTTCAGGAGGGCAGCAGGGACTGAACAGACCAATGTGTGAATAAATGTCCTGCCTGGTGGCGGCCCAGCCCTGGGAGGAAGCCCTGACAAGCCTGAGGGAGACAGGAGGCAACACTGATGTGACCTCTGGCGGGGAGCCCACGGCAGCCTCTGGGAAGTTGTGGTCGGTGGACGCCTGGGAGATGTGAGGCCGTTGGAAGGCCCAGGGAGGCAGAGAGCTCAGGAAGTGCCCAGGCCTTCAGGTGGAGCATTCAGGCATGTCCCAGGATAATGAGGCCAGTGTGGCCAGAGTGAGGGGGTGAGTGTGGTAAAATGAGAGGAGCGTGGTCTTGGGTCAGGTTTCATGGGATCTTTTAATCCAGGGGAGAACTTGAGCATTTTCTCTGGAGCCAGACACTGTGGCCTATTTGAGGCAGAAGAGTGATACTATCTGACTTGATTATTATACTAAACTAAAAAGTTGACTTGAAACATACACATATGGACACACACACACACAACATAGGATTTCTCTGACTGGCATAGAGAATAGGCCAGAGCAGGCAGGTTAGGGAGCAGGTAGCTGAGCCGGCAGAAGGGTTGTGTGCATCCAGTGGGGAGATGGCTGGGGCACTGATGGTGCAGCTGGTGAGAACTGAGTCCATGTTATCCAGGCGCAGCTGGACCCTGGGGGTCACTCAGCATAATGAATGAGGGGCTAGGAGTGAGCCTCCTGACTGGCCTGGGATTCCCTGTGAGTATGGCTGTTCCATTCAGCACTTGGAGGCTGAGGACATTCTTTCCCCGGCTACCCCGTCAAGACCTGCCTGCCCACCAATGACTGGTGCCTCCCCAGTGCCTCGGCCAACGGGGATGGCAGTCTGTGCGAGGCCCAGGTGCTTGTTCTCTTTGATGGTCTCAACTGCTAGCCCATGACAGACGGTGGGCTGGGGAGCCACCCCCAAATTTCTCTCGTGAGGGACAAGTGACCAGCGTTTGTGTTGAGGAAAGCTCTAGACGAGGAGCAGAGGCCCACTCTGACTGGCCCCACTGCATGGTGCGTCATATCCTTGGATCAAGCAGAAACACCCTTCCTGGGACATCCCTGCCCAAGTCCTCCTTCCGCCCGTTGCAGCCCTACAGCTTGTCTGCTCTCACCGCCCAGCCAGCCAGGTGTGACCTGTGGCCACGGAGCACACCGTTTGTCTCTGCGATGCGCACCGACCTGGTGGCAGGGGCCCTACCGGTTCAGTGCTCTAGTAAGCAGCTGTCCTCCAGAGCCCAGCCTGTGAGCACTGGGCTGCATGTGCGCCTGTCTGTTAGGAACTTGGGAAGGAACAGAAAGTGGAAAGGGATAGAGCAGAGGCCAGATTCTAGAGACCCTTGCTTGCCTGGTGTCATATCAACTCCTTGCAGTGCCAGGGAACCTGAGTCTTTCCCGAGGGCAAGCCATGTAGGGGTTTCCAGCAGCAGCGTGATACAAGCAGATGTTTGCTTTAGCAACTTCATCCTGCAACAAGACACCCGGGGTTGGGTGGCTGGAGAAGGCCCGGGCATGAGAGCAGGGCTGAAGGCTGTGGCCGCATTTTAATTGAAAGTCGGGAGACCCCAGTGAAGTGAGGACTGGAGATGGGCTTGAGAGGAAACCCCCAAATCTGGTGACTTGCCATAAGGCATGGGAAAAAGGTGGTGTCAAAGATTTCTGGCTCTGACAACTGTCCTCTCAAGGCAGCCAGACGCTGGCCCCTTACCCTGTCCCCATGGTCCTTGTCCAATTCAGAGACTGAACGGAGCTGCTGTTTGTGGCTTTGAAAGCGGTACGTGTCAGGGGAGGAGAGTGTCTCTCTCTCACCCAATCAGGACATTTCAAGATACCAAGGGACACCTGCTCCCAGGGAAAACCCATTGGCATGAGTGGCAAGGAGTGGCCTACACTGTAGCCCCAGTCACCATCATGTACACAGTAAGTGGTGAGGGACAAAGGGGAGAGGCTGAGGAGGCCCAGGTGCCTTCTCCCCACTGGGAATGGGCTGAGAATGCTCAGCACAGGGCCTCCAAGGCAGGGGCTCCACAGACGCTTCTGCCTAGTGCCGGCTGGGAAAGTGGCCCTGTCGTCTGCTGCCCTCTGTGCCAGCTCATCGCCGCCCAGCCCGTACCAGCACTGTTACTGATCTCACCTAGGACTGCTGTGTCGCGGGCGCTGGCTTCTGCTGTGGTGTATGAAGGTCGCAGAGGACGGGCGCAGGCACATGAGGTCGTGCTGCTGTCCAGTTGCCTGCCTGCAGCTTCTACTTGGATGTCACAGTCTGGCTGCTGCTTCCCTGGTCCACAGGAGCAGGTGGAAGAAGGTTTGACCTTCTGTCTCTGCCCGGGGCTTAGTTCTTTCAGAAATGGACGCTGGGATCAGAGTTGGGAAATGTTGGCATTGGGTAGAGAAGGGCCAGAGTTACTAAGTGCAAACCGCACCCAGATCCTACCTCCTGCTTGTAACTCAATTTTAGTGATGGAACCGCTACTATATTTTGGTCATTTGAGTGCCATCCTGTTACCATTCCCGGGGGCTCAGTGCTCCAGCCCTGCTTCTCGCCACCAGCTGCATGACCTCAGGAAGGTAGTTGGCCCCTCTGTGCCTTAGTTTCCTCAAGGTGACATGGATATCATATTACCGCCTTTGTAGGGTCGTTGTGACAGCATGCAGATCAGTAGTTGTCCAGGACGAATGGGCAGCAGGGGGCCTAAAGGGGTGATAGATATATTATCTTGATTGTAGTGATGGTTTCACAAGTGTGTATTTATATCAAAACATATCAAATTGTGCACTGTAAATATCTACAGTTTATCATATCAAATATATCTCAATAAAGCCTCAAAAAAATGGGTGGAGAAGAGTTTTGCAGGCAGGTGAACCCAATTGCTCTTGCCTGGCAGCCCAAGGTCACCCGGACCAGCCGTATCCGAAGCCCTGTGAGCTCTCTTTCCTCCCTTCCTCTTTGGTTGTGAGCTTTTCCCATTTGCTTCCTGCCACCTGTGCATATCTCATTATCCAAACATTTGATTCTTTATCCCCCTGTAGGTGGATCATTTAGAGTGTTGAATATAAGGAGCCAAATTCTCATCCTGGGTGATGGGAATAAATCTTTCCAATAAATTAACAAGTTGAAAGTCATTTCTTACTGCCATTGCTTACCAGGTATCAGTAGAGATAGCTGAGCATTGTGACAAACCCCACTTGAACAGTCTTAAAAATAAAGGGATCCCCATGGGCCCAGAAATGCTGAGGTAGATATCAGGCACAGCTCCATCCCAGGGGTGCAACTGGTGTTATCTCTGTTACTCATTTGTTCTTCTGTCGTTCCTTCTTGGGCGGACTGTCCCCATGTGGTGGTGGCAGAGGTAGCCAGTGCCAGCAGCGGGGAAGAGCCCCTCCTTCTTAGCTGGTGCAGGAAAAGGTCCAAGTCCAGCCCTCCTTGGCTGGGCATGGGTCAGCTCCCTGCCTGAACCAGGCCCTGTTGGGGGGATGAGGTGCCCCTGTTATACCAGCGCCACCTGCCTTTAGGCCAGGGGTGGTGGAGTCGGCCAGAGACAAAGAATATGGATTAGAAAGTAGGGAGAGGATGTTCTCCAGAGGCAGAGGGGGCAGTATTGATGGCAGAAAAGGGCATGGGTGTCACCAGGGGAAGCAGCAGATGACGGCCCCAGGGATCAACTCCAATTATTATTTTTTAACTAAGTGGATAGAATATTAACACGCTTCCAAAAGTCAGAAGTACACAAAACAATCACTCCCTTTGAGTGACGCTTTTACCCTGTTCCCACACCCTTGTTAAGTAACCCATTTCAGTGAGTTCTAATTTATCCTTCCTGTTTCTTTTTGTAAAGATAAGTAGATTTTTCTTTTTTTCTCCCTTTTCTACACGAGAGCATACTCCATGTGCCCTTTTGCCCTTGTTTTTTTCCCTTAACAAGAGAAAGGAAAACATTTGTAACTAGCCATACCAACTCATGCTGTGGTGACTTACGGAGAACGGGACGTATGTATGAGCATGGGAGGTGACTGCTGGCCTTTTCTTCCAGTGAACCGCATCTTTATCCTCTTATGCCTGGGTTGTGAGTGAACCTCTCTCCTCTTCCAATGCAGATGGAAGCAGCTATGCTGTTCACGACTCACGGACCCCCAGCCTAAGCTCAGGGGGTGAGGGTTCCCCCGAGAGCCCCAGCAGACACAGCTGGGAGATGAATTATCAAGAGGCAGCGATCTACCTCCAGGTGAGTGTCAGGACCTGTTCTGGGCACCTGTTAGCGGAGTAGGGTGGCGGGCACTCTGTCCCATCCCACAGACTCTGTCTGGCTTTAGTCGCTGCCCCTCTTCTCCCTGAGAGGTTCTCATATGAAGATGGGGGGAGCCAGCCTGATGGTGCCTGTACAGGAAAGGCAGTGCACGGGCTGTCTGTGGCCCTGCCTGCCCCTGGGGTCCCCGAGTCTGTCCACTCGGCCTTCCCTGCCCCACTCCCCCTTCTCAGGGCCACACGGAGCCAGTTGTTGAGAGGGAATTTTTCTTTAAATACTTAATTCTGTAGCAGGAGCTAGTTGACCTAGCGTGGGGAACTGAGAGATCTTTATTCCTTTTCTGCTCAACTTGCTGGTGTGTTCATGTTTACTTTCTCATGCTTGGTTTTTTTATTTAGTCTCTAATAAAAATAATGCTTTTTGAAAGAAGTAATGTATGTTCATTACAATGAGTTTAGGTACAAAGGGGATATGAAAAAAATTTGCCTAAGGCAGCCACTGTCAATGCTATTGAAGAATAATACATAGGTTTTATGTGTTTTCTAAAATAATTTTAAAGTTATGTGGTATTTACAGGTGAATAGTCTGCTTTTTTCTCCCCATGGCATTTAGTATAAGCTTCTTCTCATGTTTTTGTAACTCCTGTAAACGAATTTTAATGACTTTATAATTATATCTGGTAAATATATCCTCATTTACTTCACTATCCTGGTAAGGTTGGTATTTTCCCTTTTTTCTTTTCCCTTATTATGATTATGCGTTTCCCTATTGTAAATTATAATCTGAGGACAGTCTATGCAGAGAGCTGTTTCTTTTTCTTTCTCTTTCTCTCTTGACTGTCTAGGATTTTTTGTTTAGAACGGTTTTAAGAAGTGGAATTACCAGAGAGAAAGAATCAACATTTTTTAGGGCCCTTTATCTATAATATTGAATACTCTCTAAACGGGGTATTGCCTCTTAGCTGCCAGTCTCACTATCTATGGCATTGTAACCTCAATCTTGCTATTCTTGTCACTGTAAGGTTTCAGTTTCTGGTGTGCATGGAGTAAGGGTTTGGGTGAGGAAATGGAAATGTTCTTAAATTCATTTGAATGATAATTTTCCCCCAATCTTTTTTCTTTGAAGCAGCTCTCCATTGTATTTGCTTTGTTATTTTTTAAAAAGATTTAATTAAAATGGGATATTTATTTGATCAGTTGCTCAGTTGTCCGTATGCTTCTCATGTTTTATGCAGGGTCGTATTTAGTTATACTTTGAGGCATTTTGATTCAGGCTAAGGCAGCAGAAGTTTCTTACGGACATTTTAGCAAGCTCAGGAGCACCTGCTGATGATCTGGGAGGGTCACCAGGGTCACCCTGGTGCACTGTCACCTCCGAGGTTGAATAGGTGCTAGAAAAGAGCATGGGATGAGTCAAAACACAGAATTAGAATGGCCTGGGGACTTCAGAAGCCTGGCAGTTCCTTCTTTCCTTAAGTAGGTGGAAAAATTAGTAATAAAAATGTCTACCTTTAGATAGAAAGTCTTCTAACAACTCTCCGAGGCAGTTTGATCGTCTCACTTTATGGCAGAGGGACTAAGTGAGTCCAAAGCCACCCAGCTAGTAAGTTGGAAAGGATGGGCTTAAACTGTGTCCAAGTAGCCTCCAAACGATGCTATTTCTCCTACGTGTTGTTTCCTCATTTCTATATCTGACCCCACGTATCCACTTAAAAATGGGCCATGTACAAATAGTGAATCTGTGGCATCTTGCTGTACTGATGGACAGTGCCTGCATTGGAGTATGGGTGGGGACTTGATAATATGGGTAAATGTAGTAACCACATTGTTTTTTTATGTGAAACCTTCATAAGAGTGTATATCAATAATGCCTTAATAAAAAATTTTTTTAAATGGGCCATGTATGTGGAAAAAGGGGTTATAGAGCAGCAGGTATGATAATTTTTATGTAGCTTTCATGTATATAACATACACACACCCAAGTACAGGTATGTATGTATGTGTGTGTGTGTGTATATATATACATATATATATGTGTATGTATGTATGTATGTATGTATATAGCAACCCATACCCATTCACATTGGGAAAGTTTATTTGAATATTAAAGGTGATTATTTTTGGCTGATGAAATTTTTACTACCTTATATTTTTGAATTATTTCACCAAAAACACATTACTTCTTAAAAGTGAAAGCAGAACTGGGACCCCTGTGAACAACAGTTCACATCTATTTCTGGAGGATGGGTTTAGCTGGTGTCAGATTTTTCCTGCTTTGCAGCCCAGCTGCACCACAGCCCCTGGACCAGGTTGTTGATGTGCTTGGGTAATCGGTCCCTTGCTGCTTTGAGGGCACCTGGTGCTTGCATTTTCCTCTCTTCCCAAATGTTACCTGATAACTCACCCTCGGGAGCCTTGATGGTCCTACCACCTCTGAGATAGTCCTCGTTTGCAGTGTGGACTTCTGCCCCTGGGAGCAGAGAGTGAGGCCTGGAAGTCATATGCAACTGGCCTGACTCCTTATTTCTCCTACTCAAGTTCATGATCAGCAGCCAGGAAACAAGGTCGGTGTTCTCTTGGAGTTTGGAACAAATCCCATGACATGGATAATATTTCACTCAGTCCTTGCTGGCGGACACCTCATTCTCCCTCTCCTCGGTGGCAATTCCAAATCTTAGAGTTAAAATCTGAGACCCCCATGTCAGTGGTTTCCTCCAGCAGGACCTCCATTCCTGGCTATTTGTTAGAAGAAATTACCCAAGAATTGCATTTTTTAGTAATCTAAACCCAAAGCTTCCCGGGCCGCTGTGTGTGCTGTGCCAACTGTGGTGGTGGTGGTAAAAACCATAGGCCTGCACAGATCACAGGACTTGTCCAGCTTGCCCTCCATTTGACTGGCGGGTTGTTTGTTCCCTTTTTCCAGCCTGCCCCTTGTCAAGTCTGTGGTTTGTCTTTATTTTTTGGTACTGAGGGTAGTGACGTATGCAGCTTCAGGGAAGTGACTTGCTCAAAATTACCCTGCAAACCACAGCCAAGATCAGAGACGCCCACCTCCCAGCTACTGGACAGTCCCTGGGCTAGGCTGGGGCCTGGAGAAGTGATCTCTTACAGGACTGTTCAGCCTACCAAACATCTATTAAACACCTACTGTGTGTCTCAGATACTATGCCCGGTGAGGACGTGACAATATCCCTCACCTTCCCAACTCTCTGCAACAGGCTTGGTGAGCTGAAGCCACCTCTGGCCGGCACAAGCTGGCCCACTGGCCAGAGCTCTTTCCACAGCACCAGCACCACCTTTGGGCCCAGAAATGCTTCTTCCTGCTAGCCTGGCCCTGCACTTTCTGCAGGATTCACCATGGCATGTGTTAGCTTCGCCTTCCCCAGAATCAGGTTTTTGTGAGGATGGCAAGGGTGGCCTCATCCCAGAAGAGTTGAATGGCTGAAATAGTTGAAGGTCTGACGTGGTCCAAGATAGCTGGAGTGCTTTCAGAAGGGCCCTGGGTGAGGGGACCTGGCTCTGCTGCTCTCCTCCTCCAGGACATGGAGCCAATGGGAAGAGTGTTCATCCTGAGAGCTGGTGCTGGGAGTGAGTGAGGCAGGCCCTGTGGGTGCAGCACTGTTGGCACGAGGGCCGTTGTCGGGGGCTGTCCTGTGCATTGCAGGATGTTCCCCAGTGCCTCCAGATGTGACAGCCCCACGTGTCTCCAGGTTGGGGTGGGTGCATCAGTGGAGCAGCATTGCCCCCCAGCTTAGAAGTGCTGAAGCAAGCTGGTGTGTGCAGAGCCTTAGCCCAGCAAGTACTGTGTGTTTTGGCTGCCGGATGACTGCCGATGAGATAAAGCTGACGCGGTGGGGGCATCCCTTACTTACCACTGTGCCCACTGCCCCTTCCCCAGAAGAACAAGGAGGGTCAGCAATGGCCTTAGGGTGTCATCTCCGTATATTCCCAAGGAGAGCATTCCCAGGGCTCTGTCATTTATTTTCTACATCATTGGCAGGAGCCGTTGCAGAGCAAAGGTGCTGGCTCTGAGCTCAGGGGCTACTGAGGCTCCCTGCACCTCGACTTTCTCACCGCTGTCGAGTGGGATCATGAGAGTCCCTGCCTGGAAGGGAAGCTGGCAGGAGCAAAGGAACATTGAGGGCACGGGTAGGGGGCTGGGCACGGTGCCTGGTCTGGTGAGCACTCCGCCAGGTTGGCTGCTGTCTCTTTACCACTGGGATGAAGGAGTCAAGGGCAAGGCCAGGGTTAGGAGATTAGGCAGAAATAGCAGAGTAAATTAAGAAGTGGGCTTTGGAGAAATCTGAGTTAAGCAAGAGTATAGTAAAATTAGCCTCAGGCTTTTTTTCTCTCGATGTTACTATGATTTATAGTAATAACAAGTATTCTGCAGGGAGCTTCCTGTGTGCCAGGCAATGTCCTAGGTGTCTTCCTGGAGCCCTGTGAGGAGTAGGCACCAGTGTTAGCTCGTTGGCAGTGAAGGAGCTTTCTCGGTGCTCCCTGGGAGGACTGGGAGAGTTTACGCCAGGCTCCCAGCTCTTTACCTTCCAGGGGCATATCTGAGAGAGGGAATCTGACTGCTCTGGGGTCAGATATGCTGCTTATCATTCTCCTGGGACTTTTCTTCTTTAGTTCCTCCAAATGTTTTTTAGGGAGAAGCCTTTTGAGCCCCATCAGCAGGTGGGGGTGGTGAGGCTTGGCTGGGGTGCAGTTTCAGGAAGATAACACTTTTGATTTCTGTGGTCTTCTGCCTCTGGCTTAAATCTCCCCCCATCTGCCCGTGGCCTTCCTTTTCTTCCCTACCCTTGGCATCTCTTCGGGGCTGATCACCTGAGGCTCGTTTGCCCACATTGCTCTTGTTTTCTCAGGAAGGCGAAAATAATGACAAGTTCTTCACCCACCCCAAGAATGCCAAAGCGCTGGCGGCCTACCTCTTCGCGCACAACCACTTCTTCTACCTGATGGAGCTATCCACGGCCCTGCTCCTGCTGCTCCTGTCCCTGTGCGAGGCCCCTGCTGTCCCCGCGCTCCGGCTCGGCATTTATGTGAGTGTCCAGACGGAGGGAGTCACAGACCTCTGGGGCAAGCTGCAGAAAGTGTCTCTCAGGCTAACTCAAGCCTGAGAGGAAACATTCTAGAAGGGCAGAGAAGGGCAGAGACTATGTACAGATTTAAAAGGGAGGCCTTGGGAGGTTGTGGAGGCACCGGGAGCAGCAGTGGCTCCCAAGTCTTTACTGGGTCCCTGCTAGAGTAAAAGCATCTCCCCCAGGCTCTCTGTGATTCTGCCCACTGGTAAAGTCCAGGGAGGGGTGCCCTCTGCTCAGAGTCAGTGGCCCTCCCTCGGCTCTAGTGGGCAGCATACCTGATTAGCAGTCCCACCCAGTATCTCCATTCTCAGAGGAGAAGGCGATGAGCAGGGGCTGGTGATGCCGCATCTCCTCCATACCCTTGGGTTGCAGGTCCATGCAACCTTGGAGCTGTTCGCCCTGATGGTGGTTGTGTTTGAACTCTGCATGAAGCTGCGGTGGCTGGGCCTCCATATCTTCATCCGGCACAAACGGACCATGGTCAAGGTGATGGACCCATCTCTTCACTGTATTTTCTCCCATACCACCTCCAAGCTTGTATCTTTAGTTCAATCCCAAGTCTAGTGCATTCGGAAGTGTAACCATGGGTCTCTGTCCTTGCCAGGCTTTCAGCTTTGCAGAGCCTTGCTGTGATGTCATGGTGATGCTAACAGTAGCTAGTGGGATTCAGTATTTAGTGCATGCCAAGCATGGCACAATAACCTTTGCAGGAGATGTCCCTCCATTCATTTACATCCAGCCAGCCAGAAGAGAATGGGATCTAAATCCCAGAGAGATGGGATTCAAACCCTGGTCTGTCTAGCCTCTGAGCCAACACTGATCGGTACACAGTATTGTGCTCCTCTCTGTGCAGAGGGGAGGAGGTATAACTGGGAATGCCTCCTATGGTGCTCTACAGTGTGAAAACCACACACACTTTTCTGGAAGAATGTGCCCAAGGAATCGGCGATTGAGATACGTGGCAGACCTCGGGGTCCTTCATGATGTGAATGGGGAGAGCTGGAAGCAGAGGGGGTAGATGTGGCCGGGCAGAGTGGTGGTTTTACGCAGTGAAATGCCACCTGACAGCTGCTGGAGCATTCTGCTTGCTTGGGTTCATTCTCCTGGGACCACACATCTGCACCAGCCACTGAAGGGCTCTTCTCCAGGGGCTGCTTGCTGAGAGAGAGCTGGGGCCATAGTGAGCAGTATCTTGCTAGCCCTCGGTTCACAGGATGCAGGAAGGGGCTGGGTTGGTGGAGCTAACATACTCTGTCCCTGTCTACCCCCAGACCTCTGTGCTGGTGGTGCAGTTCATCGAGGCCATTGTGGTGTTGGTACGGCAGACATCCCACGTGCGGGTGACCCGGGCGTTGCGCTGCATTTTCCTAGTGGACTGTCGGTACTGCGGTGGCGTCCGGCGGTAAGGCCTGTGGGGAGGAGCTGCTTAGACAGTCACTATCATGGCCTGCCCTGGACCTCTGAGCCAGTGGAGCAGGACCCAGTGAATCAAGCAGGCGTAAGATGAATCCTGCACATTGTAGGTTGTGATCACACTCACTTCCCGAGCTATTCGGCCTGCCCAAAGGAAGTGGTATACCTTCTGAACGTTAGGTTTCCTGACTCCGGGGCCAAGGCTCATTCCCATATACCTGCAGCCTTCTGGGGCTGGCTCCTTTCTCTGAGCACGTTATCTGCCCAAACACATCAGCAGGCAACAGCCTAAAGCAGGCAGCACGGCAAAGCCCATGTGACTCAGCAGGCTATCCTGACCCCTCCACAGAGCCTGGGGCCCAGAACTCAAACCAGGCCACAATCCTAGGGTTCAGCTTAGCTTCAGAGAGTCCATCTGGAAAAGCCTGTGGCTGGGGTAGTGTTGATGAGAGTACGCTAGCAACTCATTCTTTGTGCCCTTTCTTAAATCTGGGAACAAGTGTCCTAGGACCAGGTGGCCCTGGCATATCTTCAGGCATCCCACATCTGCTGGTGGAAGCTGCCCTTTGTACCTAAGGCCATGCACTTGGCCTTCTGCTGCTCCCTCTGTCTCCTGCAGGGCACTTGCTTCCTGTGCTCTGTAAGCAGGAGGAGATGGCTGTGCGTGCCACACCTGCCCCCACTCCTCCTTGTCACCTCACCTTCTGAGTGCAAATCTTCTAGAGAAGCACTAAGCGTGATGTCACAGGCCAGGGCGCAGTGGGATTTGGTGTTCCGTGGTCAGGAGCATCTGGCCCCCATTGCAACAGGAGCATGCCCCACTGTGGAGTCCCAGCTGCACTTCTCTGGGCCCACCTGCCCCAGGAAGCCCCTCATCACCTGGCCTTGCCTTTCTCCCCAGCAACCTGCGGCAGATCTTCCAGTCTCTGCCGCCCTTCATGGACATCCTCCTGCTGTTGCTCTTCTTCATGATCATTTTCGCCATCCTTGGTGAGTTCCCTGTGCCCCAGGAGCCAGATAGTCTCTAGCAAATATACAATTGAAGAAAACCTTGCTTTGACCGTTTCCTGAACTCGGAAAGGTTTTACTAATTGTATGAATAACACTCATGGCTTCCACTTTAGCAAGTGAAGTATTGGAAATAAAACAGAAGCCACCTTTGCATCCTGCCATGAACTCAATTTCCTTTTCCAACAGAGGTACCCCTGTCCTAAACTCATCCTTGGCATGTGTGTCTTTATAGTTTTACTTTTATTTATGTTTTCTTCAGTAATAATAAATGATACTGCTTTGCATATTGAAAAATTTTACATGGATGGTTACTTAATATGTGTGTCTACTTATGCAAGTTGCTCTTCTGAAGTTTATCCATATTGATAGATGTAGATTAGTTTGTTTGTTTTCAGTGGATGTGAGCATACCCAGATTTATCTGTTCTTCCTTTGGTGGGCATTTTTCACTATTACAGAACACACTGCAGTGCAAACTTTCGTGCATTTCCTGGTGTGTATGCATGGGAGTTTGTCTCTGGTGTATGCTTAGCACATTCAGGTCTGCACACTTCAGCTGTACTAGAGATCAAAGCAAGACTTTCTAACCCTGAGGAGGCCTTGCCTCTTTAGATAAGGCCAACATTCTAAAACAAGATTTTTTACATGAAAAGACAGATTTCCAGCATTTATTTGTCCAATCTTTTTGACATCTGGTTTGGTCCTCTGTTCTAACCCTTTTGTTCTACCTGTTTTCCATCACCTTCTAGGTTTCTACTTATTCTCCCCTAATCCTTCAGACCCCGTAAGTAATCGCCATGTTTGTCTGTTTCTTCCTTTATGTGAGGCCTTTCCCCTCAGACGAGGTGGCTGGACTGATCCCACCACTATAGGAAGGGATCCCTGTCTGGCCTCTCCTCATAGCCATTCGCACCTGTACATTCCCATCACCCAGACATGAGCCGTTTCCTTCCTTAAGCACTGAGGGACTCCCCTTTCCTGCCCCTGAAGGCGTGTTTCTAGCATCCGATTTGGAACATCGGAGCATTTTGGGGGAGGACATGATTCTCCAGGAGATAAATCCCAAAGTTAGTTATCTGCTTCTGCAAGAAGCATGGAGTTCAGGAAGGCAGAGGCCTTGACTCCACTTTCCTCATCCTCTGACACCCCTTGGGGATTCCTCAGAAGGAGGCAGAGTCAGTGGGGTGGGGAGCAGAAGGGCAGGGCCCTCCAGGTGGACCCTGCAACTGTTCCTGGCCGGTGTGCATGCTCGGACTGGGCCAGTGTGTTCTCCCCTTGTTCCCCACACAGTACTTCAGAACCCTGGAGGACAGCATCGTCAGTCTGTTTGTCCTTCTCACCACAGCCAAGTAAGTCGGTGTTCTGCTTTTGGCTTCCGCCCTCTGTCAGTGGCCCTGGGTCTTCCCAAGAGCACTACACATCAGCTCGGCAGGTCCTTGGGCTCACTGAGGGGTGGCAGTGGCCTGATAGGCTTGAAGCCCATGGATCAAGAGTAGGGGAAGAGAGGTGGGGCTGGGAAGGCAGAAAAGGGAGATGGCCTTTGAGAAGCAGAGACAGGCCAACACAGGGCCCTGTGGGTGATACTCTGAAAAATCCAGTTTCCCAGATGTGATGATGCCCTCCTACTCCCGGAACCCCTGGTCCTGTGTCTTCTTCATTGTGTACCTCTCCATCGAGCTGTACTTCATCATGAACCTGGTGAGTGACCATGACTTGCCTGCAGCTGCACAGTTCATGGGGCTGGGGAGCTGGTCTGATCCAGAGCACCTGCTCTCAATCACTTCGTCCTCCTGCACCGAGGTGCCAGGAATGTCTGGTGTCTTTCCACCCCTTCTATCACAAGCCATTAAGACTCAATACAGAACACATTCCATTAAGGAGAATGGAAAGTGCCTGGACACACTGGAACTTTGGAGGTGTTGTGGAGGCTCAGCTGGCCACCAGAAATGCTCTGCCATCAGCAGATCGCCGCTGACACTAGGCCATTAGGCCAGTGCCAAGACTGTACGTCAATGCCACAGTTAATCAGGGAGAGGCTTTTATCAGGTCTTGCATTTAAATTTATGCTTTTGAAGATCATTCTCACACCAGTCACTGCAGTCAGGCCCAGTGCAGAAATGGAAAAATCCTTTCTCTGGGGTAGACTTGGGAATCTCCTAAAAATTTGAAGTCTCAGAAAGGAAAATATTTTCTTTTACATTCATCAGAACCAGAAGGAAGTATGTTGGATATCTCTTCATACACATTATAGTTCTTAAATGCAGTGGTTAGTTTAGAATCATAAAATGTAGTGTAACTGATGTGCCTTAATTTGTAATCTGTCTAGAGCTGTAAAAATCTAGGGCGTGGGTCAGCAAACTACAGCCTGCTGGCCAAAGCCAGCCCACTGCCTGTTTTGTAAATAAAGTTTTATGGGCACCCAGCCATGTCCATTTGTTTATGCCTTGCCTATGGCTGATCTCATAACCTCAGAGCTGAGCAGTTTCAACAGAGGCTTTCAGAACCTAAAATGTTTGCTATCTGGCCCTCTAAATAGAAAGTTTGCTGACCCACCCTTGGTCTAAAGGGGAAAAATGGGGAAAAATTTGAAGGGATGGTAAGGACAAAGATTTCCCTCAAAATATTTTTGGAAGATAAGTGTTTCCAAAAAGGCTTCCTTCAAATCAGCTCTTGCCCCTGACTCCCCCACTGCGCTTTGATAACGAACCCTGTGTTGTTAATCTGCTAACTGTGGCATTAGGCAGCTATGCAAGGCTGTGCTCTCAGTGCAGGCCTCCTCATTACCCTGACTGCGGGGGGCCATGCCTGAAGCCGTGACCCACCGGGAGAGGGGAAAAGGGGATGGGGGAGGGAGCATCTGGTGCAATGATGTTTCTTCCTGCACTGAGGGTGGTGAGAGAGCACAGGATGGACACACAGTCGCCTCCCAAGCCACTGGCCATGTACTGAGCTGAACTGGGAGTTGAACCCAACTGTTTTTCTCAACAGCTTTCTTCTCCCTTAAAAAACTGCCCAGCCAAGGGCAAGCTGTAAGTGGAGAAGAAAGCTGGGGAAAATGATAACAGTGTCTTCATGTATCTGAAGAGAGAAAATTTATGAGAGGCAGTGAATGACCCTTTTCTGCAAGACTTGGAGACAAACTTCCTGTGCCACTGAGGGGCAGGCAGGAGGGTCTTCTCAAACCCCTTTCTGGGGTGACTGGAAAAGCGCCCTCTGGAGGCAAAGAACAAACTCCCTGACTCCCTGAGGCCCCACCATGCAGGGGAGCCAAGTCTCTGCTCTTGCCTCACAGCTTCTGGCCGTGGTTTTCGACACCTTCAATGACATTGAGAAACACAAGTTCAAGTCTTTGCTGCTGCATAAGCGAACCGCCATCCAGCATGCCTACTGCCTGCTCATCAGCCAGCGGGTAGGGAGGAGTGGGGGCTGGTCAGGGAGGTTGGGTTAGTCCCCACTCCCCCTCCCTCTCCCTGAACAGCCCCTAAGCATGGCGGGACCAGCAGCTTTAGAAACCAGGAGTCCTGCCCTTGGAATACCAAGAAGGAGTGGGGTGCCCAGGATCCTGTGTTGTGTGGGGCATTGGCATGGCTGCCCGCAAGAGAAGGGCATTGGGCTCTGTGTGTTTTCCTATATCCCACATTGCCATCTTCCATCATCACTCAGAGGCCTGCCGGCATCTCCTACAGGCAGTTCGAAGGCCTGATGCGCTTCTACAAGCCCCGGATGAGTGCTGGGGAGCGCTATCTTACTTTCAAGGCCCTGAATCAGAGCAACGCATCTCTTCTTAGGTAAGAACAGATGCCAGGCAGAGCAGCTGGCCCGACAGGGCATTCATGAGAGGGAGCTGGGGCATAGGAAGGCCCTAGGTGGTGGATGGGCAAAGAGACTTGTTAGAGCCTTTAGTTTTCTTCACAGAGATTCTTACACATGTAGACCATTCATCAGGATTCTACTTGCAAGTGACAAGAGTCCAACATAAATTCAGGCTGGCTATCTTGACAAAAAGGAACACATTCACTCTTGAAATGGATTGGCCTGCTGCTCACCCTTGAGCCCTGAGGGAGGTGGGGCAGTGGGGCAGTTCACTGTGAGCAGATCCACATCAGGGGGAGCACATGTGGGCATGTGTGCGCGCGCGCACACACACACACACACACACACACACACACACACACACCACACCACACCACACCACACCACACCCCCCCTCAGAGAATTGGCCTTGAGATATCCAGGGTCAGTCTAGGTAGGACTGCTCATGACCAAAACCCTTCTTTTTGATTTAAAAAGAGGCAGAGACAGGTGTATTAAGTCCTCTGCTAAAGGAGGCTCAGTCCCTGTCCATCTAGGAAATACACTAATCTGGGAGGATCCACGTTGTCAGTAGTTAGAGCAGACTAAATGGATTAAGTATTCATAGCACCTGGGGGAAGGACATCAAATGCCTGCAGATGAGGGTCCTGATGTGCGGGACTCCCAGGTGCCCCCACCCCCCTACCGCTTAAGGGTGACCACAGGTAGTGAGTAAGAACTGAAGCTCAATGTGAATGTGTTCTGATCTTTTTGCCTTTTCATGTTGCTTATGGCAGCCTGAAGGACTTCTATGATATCTATGAAGTTGCTGCCTTGAAGTGGAAGGTGAGTGCTCTTGTGAGACCAGAGAGGAGGTGGGCAGACAGCTTCATGGGGTGGCGGTGAGGCTGAGAGGCCCTGCATCTGCTGTTACATCTGGTTAAGAACACCCAGCCTCTGTTAGACCCCATTAGTCACTGTGTGGCATCAGGCAAGTTATGGAACCTTCCCAAGGCTTGTCCCACCTGGGAAATGGGGTAACAAGAGTCCCTACCTACAGTTATTTCAAAGATCACATAAAAATAATGCATGTGCCTGGCCCATTTAAATGCTCAGTAAATATTGGGCGTCTTTATTGTCATTTAGATCCCTGAGTGTTTTCAAGTTAGTGCGGGGAGCAAGGAAGGGCTAGTCTGGTCAGTGGTCTTGATATCTTCTGTCCCATGGCCCTGTTTCCTGGCCAGGCAAAGAAAAACAGAGAGCACTGGTTTGACGAGCTTCCCCGGACAGCGTTCCTCATCTTCAAAGGTAAGGGCGACCTGAATGCGGTGTCTTGGTGCTGGGGACAAATGGAGATTTCTAGAGACCACAGATGGGCATTTGGAGAGCATGCTCAGAGGATGCGTGTGTGTGTGTGTCTGAATGTCTGTGTGTGTAAAAGAGATGGAGTGTGATTGCCACAGCAGAGGAATAAGTGTTGGACTAGGATGGAAATCAGTAACTTAAAAACCAAACCAAAAGACATTTGTGGGATGTTTATTCATTGGAGAAAATTTACAAAGTCAGATATTTAGAAGAAAATTAAAATTTCCCATGTAGAGATAGCCAACTGTTAATTTTCTTGTGTTTCTTTCCATCGTGGGTTATTCTGTGCATTTTAAAAAAGTAGTGAAATTACTTGATATATTCTGTTCTAAACCTGCCTTTTTATCTAATATATTTTGACCACCCTTCTGTGGCAGTATGTGTAGCGGTGTATGCAGTCCCTTCTATTATGCTTGCATAGTGAAAAACTCAAAATTTAAAAATTGGAGTGCCCATATTATTTATCTAATAGCTACCCCTTAATTTGACGCCAGTTTTAAAGTTTCACATGGGAGTATTGTTAGTTCACAGGGATTTTCTTGTGCAAGAAACCCGCAGCCTGGATCTGAGTCATTATGAACAAGCATAAAGATGGTATATTCTATTTTGTGATTTCTCCCACAGCTTGGGCTTTAGGCACAGCTGTCACTCCATATTCTTCTGAGGGTTTTTTATTCCACTGGATGATAGTTGAAAAGTAGATGAATAAATAGTCCCGGGTCTAGGCCAGCGGCCTTTCAGTTTCTGTAGTGGTCAGCAAAGCTTTGTTCTGCTCTATCCTGGCTCTGGGTTGCCCAGCTCTCCACAGAGCAGCTGTATTCAAAGCAGTCTTACTTAGCACAAATGTGGGTGTCACTGTTAGAACAGACCTTTCTATTTTCACCCCTGGGCACAAATGCCCAGGTCACTCAACATGTGTGAAGTGTGATAGGAGCACGTGTATACGAAAATTTCCATGTTAACATTTCTTCTCTTCAAATAGGAATTAATATCCTTGTGAAGTCCAAGGCCTTCCAGTATTTCATGTGTAAGTATGAAATATAGCTCTAGGCCCCTTTTCTCCTCCTGAGTCTTCTAGTGTTCCAGGGATAGAGGGAACAAGGCATTAGTCCTGTGGCTTTGTTGACTTTTTATTGCAAAAAATTCTAAGCATGTGTAAAAGTGGGGGTATTATAATGAGCATCCATGTACTCATCACCCAGCTTCTACAGTTATCATCCCATGGCCAGTCTTCCTTGTCCATTTATATCCTCGCCCCAGCTCATCACCTCTTCTCAGGATGTAGAGTGTTTGGAAGCAAATTCCAGAAGCACAGAGTGTGATTGGCTGAGACATCACTTAAGTCTGTTTTAATCTGTAGCTTCCTCCTCCATCCCTCTTCTGACTCTTGGGATATTTAGTTGAAGAAACAATATTGTTTCTCTTCCGGTCTTGGTTTCTCATGTTCCTCTCTTGCTGATTTCCTGTAATTCAGAAGTTATCTAGAGCTGTATCGTTCAGTGTGGTAGCCTCTAGCCACATGTGGAAGCTAACTAAAATTAAGAATTGAGTTATGCAGTAGTAATAGCACACTTCAAGCACTCAGTAACCACATATGGCTAATGACTACCAATTGGATGGCACATGTGAGACATTTCCATTGCCACAGGAAGTTCTTGGACAATACTCATCTAGAGGCTTGATTGGGTTTGGTCTTTGTGAGGAGCTATGGTTCCATTTAGTGGGAAATGATATTTAGAGACCACAATCTGGGTTGCTAGATGTACTCATTGCTTTGGGTTGGTTACTGTTTCTAGGCCTTTCCATGGATGGAGGTTAGATTTGGGTTTTTAAAGATCAACTATATTGTGAGTTTATCCTGGTATTTCTAATTCAAATTCCGGACTAAAGGGTTTTTACCTAACTTCGTCATTTTGTTGTATCTAGATTCCTGCAGTCTTAAAAGTCCTGGTTCCCAGCAACACTAATGTAATTATTCCCTTGCTTTATCCAACAGTACACACCTAATAGACTCTGAAAAACAATACCAGCACAACCCCAAAACAGTTACTTAAAATACTACTCAAATTATTGTGTTTTAAGGTCACTTGGAATAGTTCCCCTCCTTGTAGGTATTTCATCAATGGGATATACATTTAGGTTTCTTTACTTCATTTTACTTTTGACTTTTAGGGATTGCTTTTTACATTTAATTTTGTTTTAAAATGATGTAAAATACATATGTATAGTTCTATGTCAGATCTACAAAATCAAATACATTCAAGGATGTCTCATTTACACCCTGTCACCTCCCCTAGTGGGTAACATTTATTGTTTATCCTTCCATTTAAAAAAAATATATAGGTAGGTGCATATATATGCATATCTCCTTGTTTTAAATAACAATAGCATACTTTATGTATTCTTTCCTACCTTGCATTTTTCAGTGAACAATATATTCTGTAGGCTACTCCATATATAGAGGTGTTCTTGTTCTTCATTTCTCTTATAGTTGATAGTACACCATTTCATGAACATGTTAAGTTTATTCAGCCAGTTCCCAGTTGACCATATATGTTGTTTGTGGTTTTCTGCTATCACAAATAGTTCTTCAGTAAACAGCTTTCAGTATATGTGGTTTTGTGTTTTTGCTAATATCTCCTGGGATGGGTCCCTAGAAGTGAAAGGCCAAATGCATATGCAGTTTTGCTGACTAGTTCATGCAGTCATTTTAAAATCAGACATCTCTAAGGAAAATAAAATGTTTTAATACTCAAACCATTTATATATTGTCTATCACTTATACCAGCTTGGAATAATCTATAGGTCTTACTGAAACATCATAACCAATATCCCTACGGTGGCATAGAGGGTGTTTTAGAAACCCATAACTGTTTTCTAAGTGAAACCACTGGTTGATTTAGCTTGTAAGCTACAAGCACTAAGCAGAAAGACATCACCTGCCATATGGGTGTGTGGAGCAGCCGCACTCTCAGGGAGCTGCTCAAAATTAACCAAGGGCTGTAGCCACAACCTGTAGATTTCTGCACCTGTCTGTGTTTTCTCTGTCTTTTATGGGCTTGTCTATTGTAGACTTGGTGGTGGCGGTCAATGGGGTCTGGATCCTCGTGGAGACCTTCATGCTGCAAGGTGAGCCCTGGCGAGGGAACTGGCATGTCCTGGGGGCAAACCTGGCCCTCCTCTTTGAGCTGTTGCCTCTGTTTCTTACAGATGGGAACTTCTTCTCCAAGCATGTGCCCTGGAGTTACCTCGTCTTTCTGACTAGTAAGTTTCTGACATAGCTTTGCTGAACTGCTCGTCCTAAACGGCAAGGAGCACTTTCATTTAGTTTAGGGTTTCATGGCTCTTCTCTAAAACAGGGAAGCTTAGCGAGAATGGAGCAGAAGTTGAGTCTAATTCCATCCCACCCTGTTTAAACTCTTTTGTGGTTCTCCACTGGCCTCCCCATCTTGTGTGTAACTCATACCACCTGACCAAATGGGGCCCCTTTACCTTCCTCTTCGCCCTCCTCTCTTGCCAGTATAGCTGCCCTCACTCCACTCTGCAGCCCTCCTGACCATCATCCCACTCTCCAGTGCCCTGTCTTACCCCAGGGACTTTGCACAGGCTATTTGCTCTACCTGGCATGCTGGGCCTCTTGCCATACTGCTCTGCCTGACAGTCCTCCTCCTCCTCCTTCTGTGTCTGAGCATCCCTGAGCGCACTGCATCATCATTTACCCATCCATACTCTTTCCTCCCATCTAGACACTAAGTTCCATGCAAGCGGGCACCACACTGTGTTGCTTACTGTTTGTTGCACACCCAGCACCCAGCACAATGTCTGGCACAGAAGAGGTGCCCAGGACATACCTGTTGGATGGACAGACAGATGTCTGGGCCATTCTCAAAGTGGGGGTGGTGCTTCACTTTTAAGCAGGTGGCCCCAGGTCCCAGCATGTGGGCCTGGCTCCTCCCCAAACCCACACTGTCATGGGGGGCATGGGTGTGATATGGCCTGGAGGGTGCACAGCCTGTGAGGGAGGTTGGAGATCTCGGGAGAGTCTGAATGAGGAACAGCGCTGGGACAGGCATGGGAGAGGCTATGGGACAGGCTGCTGCTGACTGCGTCCTGCCATCCACAGTCTATGGGGTGGAGCTGTTCCTGAAGGTTGCTGGCCTGGGCCCCGTTGAATACCTGTCCTCTGGATGGAATCTGTAAGTGGAGAACATGCTTCTTAACCGTGCCTGAGACTAATGAAAAGTCCTGCATCCTCCCCCTATACACCCACAATGCACTCACGTTGTCTCTGCAGTTGCAGAAGGAAGCTCCGAGGACAGGTCAAGGCCTGTGTCCTGGCCCAGTTTTTCCTGGAGCCAAGAACTCACTGGGGCCAGGCTGTTGTCTCACTCCCTCAGGCTGCCCTTGCTAGTCCTCCTGGACATGGCCTCTCGGGGGTCCTTGGGCTGACTGGCTCTTCCTGAATCACTTAACCCCCACACCCCGACAACTAAGTGCTTTTTTCCATAAAAAGCATGATGCCCACAGAGAAGGAAGTTCCACTACCTGCCTTGGTCAGCAGCAAGCTGGTGGCAGTGCAGAGACCTGAGTGGCCCTTCTCCCTGTTCCACTGAGACCTCAAGCAGTCACTTAGTGCCTGTTAAAGTTAATTTACCCATGAAAGCGGGCTATACTCACCGGGCCTTGGGTCAGGAGAGTAAAGCAGGTTAATAGAGGAGAGTCTGGGGGGACAGTGAGATGTATGTGGCTGTTTTCCGGGTCTTAGCGCATGTCTGCAGAGACCCTGTCCGCTGGTCTCCAGGTGGGATCGTACCTGCTGATCCTGCTCCTTCCCTTGGGAACCTTATTAGGGTCAGCTGTCACTGGCGTACCCACGAGACCAGGACCCTTAGGAGGGGTTTGGGGCCTCTCTGACCCCCGAGAAGTGTGTTGTGACAGGGGCCAGCCTAGCCAACCTCAGAAACCCCGAGGCGGCAGGAGCTGCTTCCTGACCTGTTGGCAGAGGCCTCTGTGGGCCACGCTCTTGCTTTGCTGTGGCTGGTGTGTGTGGACTCCTTGGAGAGGGGCACACAGCACAGGGCTGGGACCAGCAGGCTGGTAGGGGGGAAGCTCAGAGGGGCTCAGTGGACCTTAGCTTCTCCCCCTTCCTCCTAGGTTTGACTTCTCCGTCACTGTGTTCGCCTTCCTGGGACTACTGGCTCTGTCCCTCAACATGGAGCCCTTTTATTTCATAGTAGTCCTGCGTCCCCTCCAACTGCTGAGGTCAGGACTGGGGTAGGGGCGAGATGGGCAGGGGAGGGTGGGACAGGCCTTGGGGCTGCTCTGGGAGATGACTGGAATGAGTCAGAGGACTCAGAAGCCTGATGTCAGACGGCACGACCCTGCAGAAGCAGTCAGGGCCCTGTCTGCCCGTGGGGGTGTGCAGACCACCTGCCTCCTCACAGCACTGGACCCAATCGCCTCTAACTGCAAGAGAACCATGGCTTGCAGCTCAGGTGAACTTGGCGCCTGGTGTATGCAGCCACAGAAACACATGCTCAGTCATAAACCTTCTGGCCACGGCCCCTGAGGGTCCAAAGGGACTTTTGAGTCCCCTGTGCTTTTCTGACACAGCCTCCAGGCAAGAAAAACACTCATTTGGTTCCCCCTTTGTTCCAGGGACCACTGCAGGAAGTCATTTAGGCAAAGGACGTGTCCTTTGCTCCTTAGGGATCCGCAGCTCTCTGTCTGCAGAAGCCTGGTTTTCCTCCTGATAGACAGCTGAGGTCCCTTAGGTGTCCATCATCCCATCCCGTCCTTCCTGGGAGGAGAGGAGGAGGTGTGCCATGGCGGTCCTGGTGGTGTCTCTCTAGGAGACTGTGGTGCCGTGCACTGGTGGTGGCCGGGACCAGGCAAACGGCAACCTCCTCCCCACACACCGCTGCCCTTTCTTCCCCGACGAGCCCCCAGCCTCTCAGCTCCTCTGCAGGCGGGGGCCTCCATTCCCTTCTTTCTGGGTTTTGCCACACTGTCCCGAGCAAGGCCTTGCACCGCCTCCTGAGCCTCCTGCTCCATTTGTAAACTGTGGTGACCACTTGCTGCTGCCTCGCCCGAGTAAGACTGAGGAGCTTGGCATGGCTTGGCATCCCCTCAGGGAGGGGCCTCTCCCGCCCCGATGTCCTGGCCACCTTGTGCGAGTCACCCCAGCCGAGTGCTGGACTGGCGGCTCCAAGGGCGGGAGGGGCTTGGGTAGACGAGGGGCCCCGTCACGCACTGAAAGCAGCCGGGCCTTCTTCCTTTGCTCAGGCTGTTCAAATTGAAAAAGCGCTACCGCAACGTGTTGGACACCATGTTTGAACTGCTGCCCCGGATGGCCAGGTACTGCTCTGCCTCTGGGCCCCCAGGGCCAGGCATCGTGCAGCCTGTGCCCCATGTGGGGGGCAATTGGGTGGTAGTTGGGGGAGAGGAGGAGTCCCGAAAAGGCCTGAAATTGAGGGGTCTGACGGGTCTTCAAGGAGACTGAAATCTCGACCACCACAGGCCTTCCTGGCACCACTCTCCTCCACTGACCAGTCTGAAACACTTAGTAGGGAGGGCAGGGAGCTGTCAACTCACTTACCACCTGTGTCTACATTCACAGGTAAGGGGTCACCTGTGAGTCTCCCTTCACAGGTAAGGGGTGAATCTCTGGTAACGGGGCATCTGTTAATGGAGTCCTGATTCAAGCCGTTTTTTACCCCCCGACCTGAATCATGAGGCCCCTTCCCTGCAGGCACTTTCCAGTCAGTAAACCTGGCTAGGGGCATGCTTCTCCGTGAGTCAGCTCAGAGGGTCTGCGGATGCCGGGGCTGCTGGAGGAGCTGGTCTCCTGCCTGGCTGTAAGTCACCCTGTCCCTTCTGACCCTCCTCTGCAGCCTGGGCCTCACCTTGCTCATCTTTTACTACTCCTTCGCCATCGTGGGCGTGGAATTCTTCTGTGGCGTCCTCTACCCCAACTGCTGCAAGTGAGTATGCAGCAGGGTCCCCAGCCCTGCCCAGTCCTGGGCAGCCGGGATTGCTGGAGGACCCGAGTCAGGACAACACACCGACTAGCCCCTCGGGGTCCCTGGGGGCACGGCCCTCTGAGCCCCAGCACCATGAGAGTCCTGGGGATGGCCTTGCCTTGGTTTTCGGGGGTGGCTCCGTGTAGCAGCTAAGCGAGGGACCCAAAACAGAGGTCGTCTCTGAAGGGAGGACATCTGAGCAAGTGTCCCTGTCCCCCAAGCACACTCCTGCCAGGCCGAGATCAGCTCACCCTTTGGGCCGAGGGCTAAAGGCTGCTCCACAACCAGGGGTAGCCTGGGGCCTAAGATCCAAGTCCCAGGGCTTCCTCCCAGTTCTCTCCAGTGTGGCTGGGGATGAGGGCAGATGCAACTAGGGGCAGCCTGTTAGGATAAGACCGACGGACGCCTGCAGGAGGGTTTTGGGGGCCAGGACGGAGTTGGGGGTACAGCCTCCCGTGACTTCTCCCTTCCCTTCTCCCTCCCTCCAGGCTACCACAGTGAAGTCAGCACACTCTGCCATTAGTCCTTGATTCCCAGTGTTCTCTTTAATATTAGGTCCTTATGGCCTCAAGCACTGGTAAAGAAATGCCTCCTAGAGACACTGGTAGCCATTCTGAGTGTCAAGCTGAGCACAAAACCAGAAGTCAATAGCCGTGGTCGCACACTCTCGGGTACATCGGAATCGCGGGTGGGGGCGAGGGGGACTGCTCAGAAATGCAAACTCCAGACCCCACCCTGTGCATCTGATACAGTTTGTCTGGCAAGAGGATCAGGACCCTGCCTTCTGAACAAGCTCCCTTGGGGCCTTGTGGCAACAAGGGGATGTGGAGACATGTAGAAATATCAACATGGATTTTAGCAGTTCAGCCATAAAGGATTGGAAGGAAAGTAGTAAATAAGACTCTGAACAGGGCACCCGATTAGAATGCTGTGGCCAGGAGGTGGAGAAAGGCACGGAGGAGCTTTCCCTCCCTGGCTTGCTGCCTTGTACCCAGGCCCAAGAGCAGGTCCCAGGTTGGGGAGATGCAGAGACAGCTCTGCTGACCCCTCTGTGCAGCGCCTCCCTGGGCAGCTGAGAGGGAGCAGGTCCCACCAAGTGGAGGCAGATAAGGGGGGCAAACCGGGGTTCCTACCAGCACCTGCTGGTGAGAGGAGCTGGAGCTCGCCTCAAACCAGGAGCATGGTAACGATAGGTGTGGGCTGGGCTGGGGACACTCCTTGGGTGGATCTTAGTTTGCTTGAATGTTTTGTTCTGTGTTGAGGAGACTGATTGTCTGGTGACCTTGCCTTTGCCCTTTGTCTCCCCGGCCAGTATGAGCACAGTGGCAGATGCCTACCGCTGGCTCAACCACACCGTGGGCAATAGGACCGACGTGGAGGAAGGCTACTACTATCTCAATAATTTTGACAACATCCTGAACAGCTTTGGTGAGTGCAGAAGCCACAGGCTGGAGGGACATTCCTGGGCATGCTGCCCTTGTACCACAGCTTCCAGATGTGGCATAGCAAAGCTGTGTGGGGCTTCTCCCTCCCAGGCTGTTTGCCACTTTCTCGAGTTCTGTCTGGCCCTGATGGAGCATGTGGTTTGCCCAGCCTTCGGGGTGCAGTCCAGGCCAGACCCCAGGACTCACTCAGCACCCAGGTTTTACTCCTTTTCTGGTACTTTTTCAGTATCAGGGAGCAGAAAAGCTTAGTGCTTTGCTGGGAGGGACATGTCCCAATGCTAAGGCACCACCTCCTGGCCAAACACTACAGTTGCTGGGTGGGACCCAGCCACCCCACCTGCCATAGTGTCCTTGCTCTGCCCCAGCTGAGACCCACACTGCTCTGCTCCTGGCTGTGGAGAGGCTGGGGGTGCAGGGGGTAGAGAGAAGAGGCTGTGCCACAGCCTCTTGGTAGGAAGGGGAGCCCCTCATGGCCTCCCAGATCTACACCAAGTAAGGTCTGGGTGTTCTTTCCCCAGTACCGCCCCCCAGCCCTGCCCCAGTCACTCAGAGCTGCTGAGGTGGAGGGCACACCCTTTTGGGGACAGGCCACGATGGCAGCACTCCCTGTGGGACGGGCACTCAGGAGCTTTGGCTGATCTTGCTGGAGCTCACAGCCCAAGTTGGAAGATGGGGACACCATCATTTAACGCAGGGTACCCAGGATAGGTAGAGAGAGTCCACTTGAAATTGACTTTTTAAAAGTAGGTCTGATCAAAATGCTTCTCTTTCTCCCTTCCCTTGGCAGTGACCTTGTTTGAGCTCACAGTTGTCAACAACTGGTACATCATCATGGTAAGGAGCCTGGTCATCCCCTGGGGGGTGTCTTCCCTGCAGGGGTGGGATCCTGAGTCACGCAGGGTTGGGGTCCTGCAGGGAGGCCACAGTTTGAGCTGGGCCCCAGGAGCCAGTCCCTCTGCCTTTGCTGAACTTGGCTTTTGGTCCCTGCACCCCACATGTCCCCCAGCAGCCAGGAGATGCCCATTCATCTCCGGGTCTCTGTCCTCCCACCAATGTGGGATAGACTTTTCAATCAAGAAAGGGTGGCAAGGGTTGTTGGTTTGTTATTTTTTGCTTTCCATTCCTTAAACTCTTCCAAGTGCCACCCCTACTTGAGACAAAGACTGGCCATGTTAGTCCTGAACCTGCCACACTGCAGTGTCCAGGCCTTATGCAGCACAGAGGAATTTTTAGACCTAGGGGAGCGAAGTCCCCCTCCTATGTCTCCCACAACCAAAGGCAAATCAGGAAGGGACTGTAAAGAGCCTGCAATGCCAGCAGCTGGACAGCAACCCGGCCCCACCCAGCTCTCACTCACTGGCTGCTTCCCTCTGTCTCCAGGAAGGCGTCACCTCTCAGACCTCGCACTGGAGCCGCCTCTACTTCATGACCTTTTACATCGTGACCATGGTAAGTCGCCAGCCACAGAAAGACCTTCGTCCTTCATCTTCAAAGTCTCCAGCTGCCCCTACACACAGGGTGGCATCTCAGCAGGGAGCTGGGGGCTCAGTTGGGTGGGTGGGCCCACAGCAGCTCACGTGCCCCTGTTCCTCTCTCCCACCAGGTGGTGATGACTATCATTGTAGCCTTCATCCTCGAGGCCTTCGTCTTCCGAATGAACTATAGCCGCAAGAACCAAGACTCAGAAGGTCTGTGCAAGGAGCTAGAGCAGGAGCATTTGCTGGCTCATCTGTCTGCTTGGCTGGCTGGCTGGCTGGCAAGCTGTTGGCTTTTTGACTGTCCAGTTCAGCTGCTAATTGCCCAACCTTCTATCATTTCATCTTACCTCTGTGGCTTATTTTTTTGGATCTCCATTTGCATTGATTTTCAGATTATTTAAGGACAGAAAAATGCTCATTTTCATCTTTAAAAATAACACATGTCATAGTTTAAGAAAAATCACATGGCAGAGACAGGCTGATGGTGGACACAGCAGCCCTCTGTCCCGCTTCCCCTGCCTCCCCTAGCTGTTCCTCTTGTGAGTCATTGTCTACACATTTCTAGAGAACGTGTTCAGGTTATGGTTCTAGATTTACATGGCGCAGATACTGTTGCCTGCAGAGCCAGCAGTCCTTCCTTCTGCAACTTGATCCAGCTTTAGTAATTGCCTCAGTTTTCCCAGGTGGTATCGCAGAGCTTTCTGCATACTGATTCTTCATTCTTTGTAGATTCTCCATCAGACTGCCATGTACCTACTTAACTTGCTTCCAAATCTCTGTCGGATCAGACTATCTGACCATTGTTTTTGCTCAGAGACTCCCTCCCGAAACCCTCTGTCCCCTGTAAGCTCCTGATCTGGGCAGCGCCCCTGACATCCACAGCAAGGGGAGGGGACGGACACGGGATCCACATGGCAGGAGGCGGGGTGATCTGGAGTTCTGCTCAGGAAGGGAACCCTAGGGCCTCTGAAGGAGCCGCAGGGAGGATGGCCAAGCTTGAACAAGCCAGATGGGGGGCCCTGGACCCAGGCTCCTTCCCACTCCCTCCCACCCCGCCTGCAGTTGATGGCGGCATCATCCTTGAGAAGGAATTCTCCAAAGACGAGCTGCTGGCTGTCCTGGAACTGTACCGGGAGGTGCGGGGAGCCAACTCAGACATCACCCAGCTGCTCAGGATCCTCTCCCAGATGGAGCGATGCGAGGTGGGGAGCAGCAGGGCCTCGTCCCACGGAGGGAGCGGGTTTTAGCTTTAGTCCCTCCCCTACTGTCCAGCCCCTCACGTTTGGTGCCACTTTTGAGTAGCACTATTAGAAAAGCCAGAGGAGTGGGTGTGGTCTGCGGAGGCAGGTCCCCGGGCTCTGACATGGGCAGGTCCCTACCAGCCTCTGCTCTTCTTTAGCAAAACACGCTGGTATTTCTGGGACGGAGATCGAGGACCAAAAGCGATCTGAGCCTGAAGATGTACCAAGAGGAGATTCAGGTAGGAGCCCCCTGAACATGCTGCCCCCAGCTCCTGCCAGGGAGAGGTCCTCCCCACTGCTGATGGGGAGCTGCTCTCCAGTCCCTATCTTGAGCAGGGGGGAGGCTCTGTGGGGAGTATGGGAGCATCTGTTGGGACCACTGCCAGTGGCAGCTGGGACGAAGGTTTGGGAAGCAGAGGTCCCAGCCCTGGACTCCTGACCCATTCCCCAGTATAGGTGGCTCTGTGTGGTCCTTTGCATGTGTCTCTGCCTTGTTCTTTCTTCAGTACCTCATCTTGATTTCTTACTCTGAGCCTGAGCTGCAAGTTAAATGTATGCAGCAGGAGACACAGTGGGCAAAGGGAGAATAGAGGGGCCACGGTGAGCTGGAAAGGACAAGACCCTTCAAAGAGAGCCGCCAGACATTGCCAGGAGGGATGGGCCCTCTGTGCCCAGGGCTCTCGGGCTTTCTGACTATTTGTTGTTTTTGTTCTAATTGAAGAAAAGGGACAAGTCACTTTTTTTTTTTTAATTTTACACAATCTCCCAATCTTTCCATGTTGGCAGCTAAGCAAAATATCTTGTAAAATACCACATGGGCTGGAGCTTTGCATTCCATACAGATTCCATGGGCCACCAGTGTGTGAGCCCTGCTCTGGGTCTTCTGCTCCTCCACCTTGGGGTCCTGAGCTCAGAGGAGGGTCTCCCATGCCAGCCATAGGGGCCAGGCTATTTTGTGTGGCATTCTGGTGGCTAAAGCCCTCTGTCTCACTGGACGGGTGACCAGTGCCCACACCAGGGCTAGGAGCTGCAGTACCCAGGAGAGACCCTGTACTGTCTAAAAACACAAGGGGTACAATACATAGTGCTTCGCTGAGCTTGGCGTCACAGAGATGTGGAACTAATGTGAGCTTCAGCGTCACAAAACCTGGCTCTGATTCCTGGCTTTGTGACCCTGGGCCAGTCACTCAGCCCATTCAGTCCTGTGAAAGGGGGGCAGTCTCTGCCTCACGAAGCCAAGGAGACCACTGCATGTGAGCTCTTGGGTGCTGTACTTGTTGTATGGCTTCTGCCTGTCCTGCTCCTGGCCTATTTCTCCTTTTCTAAAATGAGGTGGCACAGAACTAGGCCATCCTGATCTTTCTCAAGTTCTACAGTTCTGTGACTTAGATTCTTTAAAAATCCAAGTTATATGTTTAATTCCTTAATTATCCAAGTACCCCACCACTGGAAATGTTGGATACTGTAACAACAATGGTTAGGCAGGTTTAATTTTTTTCAAAATGCTTTCACAGTCTTATTGGAGGGCCACAAAAGCCTTAAGGATTTAGCACAGGCACCCAATTTCATCTGGCTTTATACAACTGCTGAGCCTCGTATAAGGTGTAAAATAAGGACATGATTCCTGCCAAGTTCAAAAGGGATAACTTGGGGTGGGGGGCCCTTTGTGAAGGGTGAAAGATGTTCACAAAGGATTACTTTCTGGGCCTTGCTTAAAGAGCTGATGTGTACCAAGCACACTTTACAAAGAGGTTTGCAAATCTTCTAATTAATTAGGGAAAGATGCCACTCTTAACTTTTCTTTTTGGGGCCATAGTCAGAATTCCCAGCAGGTCCGGGGGTGAGTGGACCTTCCAGCGCACTTTCATGGGCAGCCCTGTGTGTTCTGTCCTGAGGCTTGCTCCTCTGACCATGGCTGGAGGGTCACTGCAGTGGTGACCTCTTCAGACTGGGAAGGGTGCCCCTGCTCAGCACTCCATCCGCTCTCTACTCTAGGAGTGGTACGAGGAGCACACCCGGAAGCAAGAGGTGCAGCAACAGCTCAGCGGTGGTGGCCTGGCCCCCGCCACCCAGCAGCTCCCTGGCAGCCGCCAGCGCTCCCAGACCGTCACCTAACCCCAGCTCGGGAAAGCCGTCTCTCCTATGCAATAACAATAGTATTATTTTACTATGATGTATCGAAATAGTGTGTGTGTATGTATACACACATATTCATATATATGCACATATTTATATATAGGAAGAGAAAAGGACAAGGTGGGGGTTTGGTTTGTAACCGCCTTGCCTTGTTTTCTTTAACCCCAGAAGTCAGTTTGGCTTGCGGGGGAGGTCAGGCCACTGTGAGTGCTTTCTCACATGAAAAGCTCCAGAAGGCCGCCTTCACAAGAGAACGACCACTTGAATAGATTCTGCCGATCTCTGCAGGGCTCGCCTTCCAAGTGGCCAGCCCTCCCGAGGCCAGATCTGAATCGTGTTCCTGACGCTGCTTTAGACTCACATCCCAGCCGACGACGTCCCCACTAACTTCTCCCTGTGGCCCATGTCATGGGCTTTCTGTGTCTTGCTTTAGGGACAAAACCACTTAGGAAGGAAAGAACCCACATCCTCTGGGTTAGTATTTCTCTATACATGATAGTGTAATAGAATGTTCCTTTGGGGACCAGGGCCTCAGACCTAATGGGAATTGTAATCTAAGGTTGTGGTTATACTCCTGCGGTCAGATCTCAGCCAGAGTTGGGCAGCAAGGGATGGCACTGGTGAATTTCATGTCCTGGCTCAGTAAGTTTCTCTCCCAGGCTTCTTCTGATTTTAAACCTCTATCAGAAAATCCTTCAGAAATGGAGGAGGGGGGAGGAAAGCATGGCCCACCACCCAGACCAATTTCTGAAAATGGGCTTTCTTCACCAAATCCCTTTTCCTTGTGATTGTCCTGTTCAAGCGAAAAGACGTTTGGTTAATTCAGGATTCTGCTGGAGACAATGGCAGGTCCTTCACGGGCATGCGTTAGGTTTCGCTGCTGGGGACGGGAGCAAAGAGCACAGAGGATCGCCCTGTGCCGTCACCTCCATGGACTCAGCTCACCCCAGGGTCTTCACTAGCAGGAGTGGTTGGCACAGATATGGGATCAGGTGAGCTCTCAGTTAACCTGGTATCATGGGGGACTTCTGAGATCAGTGTGGTCTGGGCAGGATGGGAGATCGGAGGAGAGGTGGTGCTGGTGGCAGCAGAAGCAGGGTCGGGGCTGGGGGAGCTTTGGTTCAGCTCGAGCACCAGAGTACCATGCAGGTGCAGGAGCGGGAGGGAGCCCCTGCCGAGCATCCTGCTCCAGCCCCAGCTTTCTGTCTGCCTCCACCACTTCCCATGACTTAGGAAGGCAGGCGGGCAGAAGTTCCCCCTTGGCATATCCAGCAGGGCAGAGCCTGATCCCAGGGGCCCTGTGCCTGGTTCCCCCACTCCTTCCGAGGCCATCTCCAAGGCCAAGCTGTCCCAGAGGGGCCGATTCTGCAGCTGAAACCGCACAGCTCAGCCCCTCACCAGGGGAGAAATAGGGGTTTCCAATTTTAAAGCACAGCCCTTTGGGGAAACAACAAATCACTGAGATTCCCATGGGGAATCAGGAGACTGCCAGGGTCTTCTTGTCTCTGGAGGGCCATGGGCCAACACTGGCAGCTTGCATCCACCCAGGCAGAACCCTTTCCCCTCTCCAGAGAAGGAACTTTATTTGCACAACTGGGTGCCTTTTAGCTTTTGTGTATTGAAATGGGTGTTTTGGAAGCAGGAGTCAAGGGGCAGCTTTCAAGGGAGGGCATGAGTTCTCCCAAGTGGCTGTCCGGCCTAGTCCCTTGCCCCATACCCAGGGGGCTGCAAAACAGGGAGGGGATGCCAGGGGAGTTGAGGCCCCATGCCTCCACTGTGAGGGCAGGTATCAGGACCAGTGGGATCTAGGCCAGTCCTTCCAGCTCTGTCCTGAGAAAGCCCTTAGTTTAGCTAGGATGGATACATGGGAGGTGGCAGTCATGCTGATGGGCCAGCATGGTAGGTGCCCTTGTCATGAAGCAGAAGTCAGTTGGCCCTGCAGGGTCATCTGCGGCCTCATCAAGTTGACCCTCAAACTTGCACACAAGCCATCAAGCAAGGAGCAGGTGTCACCCAGGGCTGTGAGCTCTGAGGAACCCAGACATCTGCTTAATGGCCTCTCACTTCCCATGCCATAGCTGAATGGAACTAAGGTCAGACTCACTACTAGCCCCAGGTCCCACGACCTGTCAGTAACCTAAACAATGCCCCTGTTCCACTTTGGAGGGATGCCATCTGTCCCCTCCTTGCTTCCCTCCAACCCAGCCTTACTCCACACTATGCGACAATCATTTTGTATGGATAGCGAGAGCAACACTGTAAGGTTTTGTACATTGATTTGTTACCTAGAAAACCCACTGTGTCTTCGGATTTCTGGCATATTAATAAAAGAGCCTCTGCTTTGTAAATGTGGCTTCTGCCTTGTGATTCCAGCGAGGTGCCATTCTGTGGGTTCCCATATTGTGGGGAAAGGGGATGGGTCCATCTGTGGCTGTCCTGACCCACCTCAGCCCCACCCTAGGTGTGCCATGAAACCCAGATACCAGGCCAAGAGCCTTCAGCCCTGGAGCCGACCACTTGTCACCAGGCCCAGGTAAGGAAGAACTGGTAAGAGTTGATGTGTGATTTTCTGTATACTTGAAATACTGAATAATTTTTTCACTGGAAAAAAGGGAATTGAATCGCTTTACTGCCAGCATAAGGTGATCGGGCACACAGAAGAGCTGCCTTTTGTAAAGGCAGGTCCCTGGCTACAGCAGAAGGTGATGGGAGTGCTTATGCTGTCCTCCCCAGAGCTTGCAGGCATTGGGACCCCATCCCTGGGCTCCCCCGAGGTAGACGCAGACAGAAACTGACTTGTTTTGCAGCTGGGGAAACCCAGGGTCCAGGGCACAGAGGTGGAGTCTAGGGCTGTGCCATCCAGGATGGCAGCCACTAACCAGGTCAGCGCCACGTGCTGATGTTTTGGAGCCACTGGGTTGCATGAAATATATTACCATTAATTTCACCCGTTTCTTTTGACTTTATTAACATGATGACTAGAAAATTAAAGTTTTTGAATGTCTCACATTCTATTCGTCAGATGGTACAGCTCTACAGCTTAGCCCACCCTGGCCGGAGGCCCACAGCACACAGGTGCTCTGTCCGCTGGGTCCGAGGCACCCTGACTCCCTACACCAGGTTTTGCAGCCGTTTGAGCCCTGAGGAGAAGATGCAGGAAGGCAGCAGGTGACAATTACAGGGATGGGCCTGAACATGGGTGAGGGGTGGCCTTCCAACACCAGCTTGGAAGGCAGCCAGACATCCCCTTCACCCCAAACCCCAACCTTTGAGGGGCTCCAGAGACCATCCAAGAAAGTCTCAACCTTCTGTCTCGAACTGTCCACAGCAAGCCCAGTCTCCAAGTCCCAAAGCAAGGCTTAACTCTTCATGCACACAGCAGTGATGGGGGACTTAAACACAGCCGCCGCCCTCCCCGCCAGGTGTGCCCTGCAGGCCCTGCAGAAAGCCTTCCGTCTTCCTTCTTCCATCTCAACTCCTGCAGTGACGTCCCTGACCACTAGGCGCACCCCAACACACGGCTTCACTCACTTTTCAAATGAATCACCCCAAATTCAGTGAGCAGGGCCACAACCAGGAAGTTCAAATAGAAGAGGAGCAGGCAGCAGCCATAGACTTTGTTCAGCTGGAAGCACTGCAGTGGGACGGAGACCAGGGAACAGACGAGGCTGAGGCCGAGGGCGCCGGCCAAGACCCACACCAACAGTCCGTCTGGCTCTAGCTGGCAGGCGGGGAGGACAAGGGGAAAGAGGATGGTTACAGCACCAACAGTCGAAGTGTGCGAGGGTCCCTCACGAGGGGCCAGTGAAGGGCTTCGGCTCACAGCTGTGGGGCCCGCCCCATGGGATGGCACGCACCACCTTGAAGTTCAATGTTTTGAGCCACTTAAGTTCATGGTAATTTGTTATGGCAGCCCGGCGAAGCTCATACACTGTTTTATATATACATATATATCTAATATCTGTTCATCACGTGCAGCTGTTGAAAACAACACAGAAGAGCCAAGGGAAGTGAAACTGTCTCCTCCTCACTTCTCTGCCTTCCAGACTCAGCACTGCCCCATCATCATCTCCAGAGACTTCACACTAGGCACTGTGCTAAGGGTTTTACACACACCATAGTCTTTCTTCTTCCCGGCCACCTGCAAAGGGAGCATTACCACCAATCCACAGATGAGGGATTTGAGTGACTAGGAAGCGACGGAGCTCAAATCGAGGTCTGAGCTCTTAACCAGTCCCTTCTCCTGCCGTACATACAGTGACATGTAGGTTCACCGGTGCATGTGGGTACACACACACACACACACAGAGCTGTACATCAATTCCGAAGCAAGAAGTGGGATCGTACAATAGGTAAGTGTTTAAGAGCAGCCTGTGTTTTTCACACAACTGTTCTCCATGGACAGCGCTTCCATGATGCCTTTGGTCTTATCTCACACAGTTAACAGCAGAATTTCCTAAACTCAGCATAAAGGCAGTGGAATGCAGACACACACTCCACAAGGAGCAAGAGAGAAAGAAAGAGGCCTCTCAGGGTCCCTAAAGACTCATTATCTGGAACTGCCTGACAATCAGTAAGAAAGGAACCTATTAAACCCATGAAGAGTATAAACAAAATTTGCAGAGGGTGCTTACCTTTTAGAAGAGCAAACTTTCCAGCAGTCAGTAGCTATTTGCTTATGGGTGTGGCAGCGTCAAAAGCTGGCCCTGCTGCCAGCTAATTACAAGGCAGCCACAAGAGTCTATTCAAAAGACCCAGATGCCTTTTGGAGAAAGGTGGGTGACCTCGTTCCCATTAATAACACCATCTCGGCCTCACAAACCCCAAGTACTTGCACATGGGGAGCTTTAAAGCATCCCCTATGCTGCCTGCCCCTCCCACCTTAAGCTTTACCTTGCCCTGTCTCTAAATTCAACTCCAGAATAGAGCCAGGATGAGCCAGGATGTGGAAGGCCCATGTGCAGCCCGTGGGTGGAACCTGCCTTGCATGGGGCACGTGCAATGTTTTAAAATCACCTAGGAATCATGATTTCTTCTCTAGGAAATCTCTAGAAAACTTCTTTTCTAGAAAATCATGAGGCCCACCTGAATCACGCAAATATTTGGTACCTCCCTGGCCTGGCTGAGAGCTGGGAGTTTTTGACCTTGTAAGAACAGTTTCTCAAGGGTCCTACTTTCAAGTCCTCAGGGAGGTTATTTAAAATGTGGAGTTCCAGGCCCCACCCCTGAACATTGGGGTCAGGTCTCATGCACCCCAGGAAATCCTTGGGCACCTCTGAAGTGTAAGAACCTCTGCTCCATGTGTTTCAGACCCTTCTCCAACTCTGTTAGCCTCCCACCTCTGAGGCTGTCTTCAACAGATGGTGTCTTTATTCTCCCTCATCCAGTCTGTCCTTTATGGGCAGCATTGGGATACGGGGTTGGGCCTGGCAGTTACCTCATGTGTGCTGATCCAGGAAGGGGGTGGGGTGGGGTGTGGGGTGTGTGTGTGTGTTGGGGAAGGAGGGGTATCATCAACTACACTTCACAGGTGAGGAAACAGGCCCAGAGATGTCCTAACTCGCTCAAAGTTATGTATCGAGAGACCGGGATCCAAATCCAGGAGCTGCCTTCCTCTTCCCCTGAAACTACATCTTAATTACTCTGTGAACTTGGAACACATTTTTTCTAAATATCTTAAAAATATTCTACAGATCAGACTTGTTAGAAATTCAGACAAGTCCTCTCCCAAGGAAGTGTGAACTGCTGAGAGGTGAACAGTCTCCCACCCAGGGGGCCAGAGGATGATGACAGCATTACAAGGAGGCCCCTTGCAGAAGTGTCCAGCCACTCACCTTCACCTCCGGGTGGCCCCTGGAGATCTGCAGAAGGCAGCCCAGGCCCACTCCCACCAGGACATCTGCAACCCAGCTCAGGAAGTTTGCCAGAACTATCCCGTATGACCACACAGCCCGCCAGTTTTATGAACTACACCCCACGCCCCAAAACACCCTATCTGAAGAGATCCTGTCCAGTTTTAACGCTTTTAAGAAGGCAAGTGTCTAGTGTTCATTTTGTATTCGATCTGTAGGAACTGAAGGAGGCGACAGATGTGTGGTACCTGGTAAGACAGAGTAGTTGGGGAGGATGGTGAGGTGGCCACCCATGGGTCCTTGGGGGACTAGTATGAAGCACAGGTCAAGGCCATCTCTAGGGGTTCTTCAGGGGACACTGCTCCAGGTGGGCTCCTTCCATCCCACCCCATCCTGGGGCATCAGGAGAGACAAGAGCCCAAAGCCAAGAGCAGGTCTCAGTGGGTACAATGGGCCATGGAGGGCCCACATGGCCCCCACCAGTTCCAACCTAACACCAGCCGGCTGCCCGCACTCGGCTCATCCCGCTGGCCCTTCCGTTGCGAACGCTGGGGAAAACGGCCCTCCCAGTGCTTTAAACAATATGACTTCATTTCACAGCCGACACTGTCCACCACTTGAATATCTGCCGTGTGCTGAGCGCTGTCCTGGATGCCCTACCTCATCGTCAGTCACCACCCCCACCCGTTCTGAATTCACAGAGATCGCTGAGCTTGAGAGAGAGTAAGCCATGTGCAAAGCCCTGAGATCACACCTCTGGCACATGTGAACTGGACCCCACTGTCCGGTCTTGAAGCTCTTCTGTTTTCCCAGCTCCAGGCTGCCTGTCTGTGTCTATTCTATACAGACCAGTGGCTGGCAAATTACAGCCTGCAGGCCAATGTGGCCCACCACCTGCTTTTATAAATAAAGTTTTACAGGAACAAAGCCACACCCTTTGGTCTGTGTATTGCCTATGGCTGTTTTCACACCACAACAGCAGAGTTGGGTAGTTACATAGAGATCCCTAAGGCCCCTAAAGTCTAATTTGCTCTCTGCTGGCCCCTGACATTTATAGACCATGACATCCATAGGCAACAGGAAGAGGGTTTGTCATAGGACACACTAAGTTCACGTGTGGGCGAACTTTTGGTATATAATGGTAACACCGACACTGTCCACCACTTGAATATCTGCCATGTGCTGATATTCACATGATAGTCAGGTAGCCCTGACACGAATAAGATCTGCCATCCACTGGGTGCTTACCAGGTACCAGGCATTTCTGTCATCTCATTCATCCTACAACAACCTCATGAGGCCAGTCCACTCAGTCGCCCCATGTTACAGATGCAGAAGCTGAGGCTCAAGCAGCTGCATCACCTGCTCCAGGTGTTACAGCAAGAGCCAATCCTGACAGGTGCATGGAGCACACTGATGGACCCCAGAGCCCGTGCCAACAGCACTGTGAGGAGGCACCCACAAAGGATACTCAAGATGATGCCACCGAAACAGGCTGAGAATGCCATCCGTGGGTAGCCCTGGCGGGCCAGCATGAAATCTGAGAAGACATCTGCTTGGAAACAAGAGAAGGCCTTGAGTGGTGAGTGGCTTCCCCTGGCCCTCCTTGGTTATTTGCTCCTTCATTTATACCCACAGTCATTCAGTCAGCAAACTGATGAATGCCCATCTGGGCTCTACACTAGCTGGCTGGTTGTTATGGCCACAGCATCCCATAAGACACGATTCCTTCCTGAATTCCTCCTAACCCATTCTTTCCTACCAGGTAAAACTTTGTGGGTATGACATGCCACCACCTATTTTTCACCCAAATCTGTCTGCAGCTAGCAATATGGCAACTTTGTACAAATTAGAAAAAGGTACCTCAAAAAGGTGAGTGGAAGGAGAGCTAGATTTTAGTTCCCAACCCCTTGTTGGGATGTTCTTGTGCAGTGTACAACCTGGTCAACCCTACCTGGTGGCTGTACATAGAGATGGGTATATATATATGTCTGTATGTGTGAATGCCTGCACAATTATGTACACATTCAGCATGGCTGGCTGCAATGGGCTCCATGTCCTGCCTGAACTATGTGGAGCCATGTGTCCACACATGAGAGTGGGGAAGAGGCTGGGGCTTCTACAGAGTCTCCTGGCACAACTGCACTCCAGGCCATCTCACTCTGATACCCAATGATGGTCATGCTAAAATTTCAGTGAGCACTGAGCACATGGTGAAGGCAGATGCCCTCGATGCCCCTGCCTACATGCCGTTCTGGCTGGGGGGAGCAACTGTGCTCATCTCAGAACCTCATCCAGCCCCGATTCACCTCCAATGCTGTTCCCCCAGGCCAGCAGCGTGAGCCCCAGCACTGTGTTGCTCAGCTGGAAGACCACGCCCAGGGACCGCAAGATGTTCACCACCTCTGTGGCGGCTGTGTTGATCCACAGAGCGCTGGTCAGGAAGCCCAGGAAGGCAAAGATCTGGGGAAAGAATGGTGCTGATGGGACCAAGGCTGGCCCCCAATAGGGACACAGCCTCAGCTCCTCATCTGTAAAATGGGACAATAACAGTATCTACTCGTGAGGTTGTCATGAGCATAAATGAGCAGAGGCAAGTGCCTGGCATGCAGTAAATGCTGATAAAATGTGAGCTCAATGACTGTTTTGCCAAGAAAGCATTCATCATGACTTTGATCAGCTTTCCAGTCTATGGACCAAATGCCACCCCATCACTACGAAAAGAAACCCCACACACATTAGTGGTCACTCCCCACCCCACCCAACCTTCCTCCTAGCCCTGGCAACCACAACTCTACTTCCTGTCTCTATGGATTCTCCTGTTCCAGACATGTCATATAAATGGCCTCATCCAGTCCGTGGTCCTCTGGGACTGGCCTCTTTCACGAAGCAGCATGTTTTCCAGACGCATCCATGTTGGAGCATGTGTCAGTACTTCAAAGATGATAAGAAGCACTGGTAGAAAACCTTTCCTCTAAATCATCAATTTGCTGAAAATCCACCCCCCTTGGGGTTGTTACATCCATTCAGAGTTTCTGAAACTAAAAACTACAATTTTTAAAAATCAACAAATAGTGAGAAATTAAAATTTTAAGTGACTTTTTAAGGAAAGTGTCTGGACAAACTGCCTAGAGATTGTGCAGAGGGGAGGGAATGGAAAGACACCCACAAGGCCAGACCAGTTGTCCACTGGAGCGCGTGCTAGAAAGCCAGGTGCTGCCTCATGAACGTAGTAGGAGAGGGTCTGGCAACTCCTCAAAAAGGCCATTCTACAGTTAACATCTGACACCTCAGTTTCACTCCTAGAATATTACCCAAGAGACAGGAAAACGTATTTTCAGGCAAAAATTTGTACACAAATGTTCATAGCAGCATTATTCATAATAAGCAAAAAGTGGAAACAACCCGAATAGCCACCAAACAATGACTGGATAAACAAAATGTGTTGTATCCATACAGTAGGACATTATTCAGCCATGAAAAGGAGTGACTTACACCTGCTACAAGATAGAGGGACCTGGAAAATATGACGCAAAGTGAAAGAAGCCATATTAGTAGTTTCATCACATTTATATGAAAAGTCCAGAAAAGGCAAATCCATAGACACAGAAAGCAGACTGGCAGTGGCTGGGGGTGGGGAAGAGGGGACATGGGGAGTGACTGCTACTGGTACAGGGTTTCTTTTTGGGGTGATGACATGCCCTAAAATTGTGGTGATGGTTGTACAACTCTGTGAATATAATAAAACCCACTGAATTGTACATTTTGAATGGGTGAACTGTATGGTGTGTGAATTACAGCTCAATAAAATAAAGCTGTTACCAAAAAAAAAAAAAAAAAAGACCGTGACCAGGTACAAACCCCTCAAAAATGGCTTTAAACACTCAACATTGTGGAAAGTAGTTACTGGCCTAACTTCCTAGGAGGCGTGGACAGGTCACGTGCTGGAGACCTTTGTGTCCCCTCTCCTACCTTGGAGAGCCCAGGATTCTTACCCAGTGAAGCCTCGGTGGCTTGCTGTTGGATGTGGCAAAAAAGGTCACTGCTGCCAAGGCAGTGCCTGCGATCACCACCACAGCCCATACAGGAAAGAGGCCCCCTATCTCGTAGATGCCATCTGTAGAGACATGAGAAAGGGAGCTGGTACTCTCCACAGCTTCAGCTTGGCACCTCCTCCTGGAGGCCTCCCCAGAAGGCGTTTGGCAGCAGGAAGACCTAAGGATAAGCCCACTTTCACTTGATTATTTGATAAGGTAAATACGTCTTATGTGCCTAGTCCTGTCCCAGGTACCTTAGGGATGCAGAGATATTAGTCACAGTCCCTGCCCTCAAGATAGTAACACGGGACAAAACAGACATGTGAACAACAGAATCCCAGCCTTTTGTTGTGGGACTGGGATGGAAATGGCTAACACTACTCACCTTGGTTATCCTATCCCGTGCCCATGGCAGACATCACTAATCAACCATAATGCTTCTGTCCAGCTGAGCTTTAAGGCAGCCCCCTCCAGTCAGGCATTACCAATCGATGGGCAGTATACCACTAGATGAACTGTCCAGTCAAACCAAACCTTACCACTGATTCCAGAACCCAGCACCTGCTCTCTTGATAAGTCTACTCTACAAACCAATGCATTAACAAGTTATGAAGACTCCAGAGGCTCCAACGGGAGAAAATCCTGCAGACAGGCAAAACACTCTAGTATTCTCTCCACACCATCTTTTTCACCACTAGGGAGTTGGTACATGTCTTAAAGGCACTGGATGGTTTGACCACCAGATACATGCATTGAGGCTTTCCTCTTATTCTTCCTTTAGGCTTGCTCACTGACTCTCAAACATCAGTGGGCATAAGAATTACATGATGGGGTTACACAAAGTCATGTACACAATCATAGTGGGTGACTTTCAGGAAGTAGTTTTGACAGAACATTATGTTCATGGATAATGCCAGCTTTCTGACACTTGGGTGAAAGGCCCTTTCTCAGTATTTGCTAAGGCTGCACTAGAGGAATTTTAGGGGGTGGCTGGGGTGGGGTGGTCAGGAAGAGCTTCTTGGGGCATTGTGGATGTGAGATGTCATAAGCAGAGAGGGGTGCAGGGCTGCATGGGAAGAGGGGAGAGTTGGGTGGGAAGGAACCAGGCAGGTTCATGGCAGTAACAGCAGAGAGAGGGCTGGTTCAAATGGTAGCAGGGGTCTCTGGACTTTTCCCAAGAGGTACTAGGGAGCCACGGGAGGCCTCAGAGTGGAGGAATGACTACAACCTGTGAAAAGTGGCACTCTAGAAAGATGGCCTGGAGAGGGAGGAGGCTGGAAGTTGGCTCTGAGATTGTGAGGTTTTGTCCGCTGACATGATACCCCCTCAAATCACAACATCCCCTCGGGCAGAGTCGAGTTCCCGGTCAGAGTTATCCTCTACAGTTCTCAGCCCAGAAGGGGGTCACAGATACTTTAGCCTGAACCAGTCTTCCCCAGTGTGGACCTGCTACCCCCAGATGGTGCTGGGGCAAGTGGACAAGACTCTAGTACCACCGAAGCGCATCTCAGGAAAGGGACTCCTTCAGTTCTCATGGTGAGGAGACGGTCTCCTCTGGTGCTAACAGATCTGTAACATCTCTGACACCTGCTAAACATCCAGTTTAACAAAGGCTCCTGGCTCAGATGCTTTACTTTTACTGTATTTATTTTTGCAGACACCTTAAATTTATTGGAGATGACACCAGTTTCCTATTGATGCAGGTGACACAGTTTTTCCCTACCCAATAAATTAAGTTTAAAAACAGTTGATTTAAGAAAAATATCAAATGTAATAGTGTAGAATGGGAAGAAATCAAGATGATTCCTGGGTGATTGATGCTTGAGAACCACCCTTTTAAGAAGCCACAAAGAGTGTGAAAGCAAGTCCCTGGGCTTGCCGGGGACAGACAGGCAGGGCTTGCCAGCTCAACAGCGGAGGGACGGCAGACGAACCAGAGAGCTGGCACCCCTAGGGGGCTCCCTTCTCAGCTCAGGGGTCACACTGTCCCTGACAGACTCTCTCGCCTCCCCTCCATGCCTGTGTCTCCCCCGTAAATCAGGGTGCGGAGGGAACTCACAGGGAATTTGGCCGCTGATTCATGCTGACACTGTTACAGCAAAAAATGCTGCCACACCCAGCAGCATTTGCCACCAAAGCCCTACCTCCACCTCCAGGTAATGCCTCTGGGTTAAGAGGGAAGAGCCCAGATGACAGGGAGAGGAGCACAGCACGAGATACTGAAGTTAGACAACAGAAGAAACCTGAGCAGCAGGATTTAGAAGCTGCCTAACAAGACTGGGCATTTCTTTAGCCAGAGCAGATAAGAAAAGAGAAGGACAGCCTGGGGCAGACGGAGAATACTCAAATTCCCCAGCCGGGTCACAGAGACGGGGAAGGACCCTAGTCAGGTCACCAGCGGGCAATGGAGGGGTCTGTGATGATTTGGACAGCAGGTACCCATCCGGGGGCACCCTTCTCAGCTCCAGCCAATTCAGGAATACAGCCCAGATCTTCTTGAGAAGCTCAAACCTGGATAATTGATGTGAAATCTCCAAATTTTTTAATGAAAGCAAACAAGCTGAAGGGCTGGGCTTGGTTCATGGGCCACCAGTTTGCAGCCTCCACCTGGACCTGCAGGATTGGACCAACTAGTATCCCTTACAGCTCAAGCACATATTGAGTGCCTGCTGTATGTCCAGGATTCTGCTGCTGGCCCAGTGCCCCAACGTGGTTAAATAGAAAACTCTGGAATATGGGGAAGAGGAAGGTGGGATGGCTGGGGGGAGGAGATACTCACAGGCCCCTGACTGCAAGGTCAGGACCAACATCAGGGGGCTGATCACGAGGTGCAGGCAGTTGAGGGGCCGTTTCCAGTTCCCATCATCCTTGTCAGGGTCCACGACGGGGACAGTGAGAAGCAGCAGGAACTCCACAGGCAGCTGTTAAGTGTGCAAAGGTGGGAAGGGGTTGCCAGAAGGCCTGCGCCTTGGTGAGAGCACCCTGAGCTCAGTGACTCAAGACTGTGGCTGTAGTGGCTGCAGCCCCAACTGTGTGCAGGCCTGGGCTAAGCGCCTGGATTAGTCCCCTACTGCTGCTGTGCCACACTGCCACAAGCAGAGGGCCTTCAAACAGCACAAATGTATTCCCTTGCGGTTCTGGAAGACAGAGCCCTGAGATCAAGCTGTCGGCAGGGCTGGGCACCTTCTGGAAGGGAGCCCAAGGGGTCATCTTTGGGGGCTGTTATTCAGCCTACCACAGCCCCTCATTCCCTAATGAATAGAACTATTGTTTTTCTACCTTCCCAATGAAGCTCAGAGAAGTTAAGGAATTTCTCCAAAGTCACAGAGTGGTATATGAAGCTGGGATACAGGGCCAGCCCCGACTCCACACCTTGTTTTTAGCCAATAATTAAATAGTAATGACATTTATGGAGTGCTCACTATATGCTAAGCACCATAGCTAGCCATTCACATACTAGTTTATTAAATTGTCACAACCACTGTGGTAGGCTGAATATTGTTCCTAATTCCTCAATCTCTTCCTGTAACAGAATCAAACAAACACCCATACATTTTGTCAAGTCTGTAGAATATATTTCCCTATCCCACTGATGTTGAACTTGGCCATGTGACTAGTGTTAGCCAATGGGCTGCTGGTGAACATGATATGAATCAAGGCTTAAAAGGCTTGTGAAGTTCGCCTTGGCCTCTTCTGCCAAGAAGAAAACACACCCCTGGCTACCCACTGCCCCCAGAATGAACACGAGGCAGACCAGAACTTCCAACCATGGCCTGAAGTAGAGTCACCCAAGACAGCCCCAGACCCTTGAACGAGAAAAAATACTATTACTGTGAGATCATAAGTCAATGAGCTTTTGGGATTGTTTGTTACATAGCATTGCTGCAGCAACAGCTTACTGATACAACCACTCTAGAAGGAAGGTTCTATCACTATCCCCATTTTATAGGAGGAAACCAAGGCTCAGAGCAGTGAAGTGACTTGCCCAAGGTCACGATGCAGCCAGAGCCACTCTGGGGTGCAAATGTAGCTCATTATTTGCCCCACAGGACTAAGGAAGCCTACAATGTATACAAAGTGGAGGTCTCTAGGTTGTCTGCAGGAGGAGATAAGGGCAGTGAGGTGAGACTCTGACTTTTTTGGTCTGGGTAGTGGAAGGCACCTATCTGTGCCTCATGTAAACAAGACTGGGTACCCCTGCTCAGGTCTAGACCTCAGAAGGCATTTGGCCCAGGGAAGAAGCAAGTGACCAGAAAAACCCAACCTTGGTTTCATTTGAACTCACCTTGACCTACAGCCTCACCCCAGTTCAGGCCCTCGCCCTCACCCAATCAGAACAGGTCCCCTCCTCTCTCTCTCTGTCTGTGATCAGATGCTCTCCCTCTTCCATGGGGCAAGGCAGAGTCCCAGGCCAGGCCATCAGCCAGGCTCTATGACTCAGCTTCCCCATCAAGTCATCTATTCTGAGAGGATCCCAGCAGACCCCGGCCCTCCTCACTGAGTAGACAAGGCTGAGTGGCCAGTGTCCTGGGCCTGCTGCTGTCACAACGCCGTGAGCCTGGTTCTGGGGCCCCGCCTCCTACCTTGAACACCTTGAGGGCCTTCCAGTATGCTGACTTGTTCCTCCACTTCCTATAATCCAGGGGGTTGAGGGCCTGGACCAGGATGTGAGCTGTGGTCTCCTGGTAGAAGATCAGTGGCCGGTACTCTTCACCTGGGTGTATAACAGAGGGACAGGGCGGGGGGGTCATGGCTGGCTCAGCTCCAAGGAAACCCTCTGCCCTCCCACCAGTCCCCCGAAGCCTTGGGAAGAAGGAAGAGCCTAGGGCCCAGCAGGGGGCAGGTTAGGTTGGCCCACAGCTCAGCCCTAGTGCTGTGAGAAGGGGGCTGGTTTGCAGCCTCATTCCTGGGGCCTAGAGGGCCCCATCTCCCCACCTATTCACCTGCACCCTAGCTGGGCACAGGGCCCTGGACTCACTGTAGTCGTAGCTGTTAGTATTAGAAGATATCGGATCCTCCTCGGAATCTGAGAGCACTTCTGTAGGAGAGAGGGGTGTCTCACACGAGGCAGTGAGGGGCCCACACCCTGCCCACTCTGTGCCAGGGCAGGGCACCTCTGGGACAGGGGTCTTCAGGTATCAAGTGTCCGGGCCTTTAGTATTTTGTATTTCTCAGCAATCACCATGCTCAAGAGTTCTTCCCAAGTGGGAAAGTCTCATTTACAAAATGTTTTCAAATGTAACAATGCAACTATAATGCTAAATTTAATAAGGGCATTTGAAGATGTAATTAGACATTTACTGATTTCAATTTTGTATTTTTCAGAATTTGGAACCCATCATATTTTTCTTTTCCAGTCTGAAAGTTTTCTTGAGAGTCTTCTGGAATGCTTACAGGCCTGAGCCGAGTAAAGAGGGGCCTAAAGGAAACTGACCTTCCTCAGGTTAGGAGTCAGTGCCAGCCCTCATTCTGCATCTGTGAGACACTGAACCCCCTCTCCAGGCTTCTTTCCCCTTTTGTTCCAGCCTGATGCACTAGAGGTGTCTAGAAGATGGCACAGGGGTGATATCTGCTGAACTTTGAAGGCTCAGTTGACAAAGGGGAGGAGGGGAAAAATCATGGCAGACTTCCTATAGGGGTTGTTGCTGGTACCTGTACCAGGGAAATGAGGCACAGTCCTGCCCTCTGGAAGCCCAGAGTCCAAAAGACATACATGTAAGCAAACTAACAACAGAATGGAGAGATAAAGGCTCTGCTGGGGCGAGTCAGGAAGCGGTGCCAGCCTGAAGGACACCTGGGCTCTTTGTTGAGCTCCCTCCATGCTGTGTCCTTCAGGTTTTCAGAAGGGCATATCAGGGAGCAGGAACAGCACATGCAAAGGCCCAGAGAAAGATGTGCGGTGGCTCCACATAGCCAGGCCTGGAGTTTGGGGTATGAAATGACTCTGGAGAAGAAAGTCGAGGCGCAGCACAAATGGCAAATAATCAAGTGTAAGGTTCTCAGGCTCAAATGCTGAAGGGACCCAAGACTGGGACCAAGTGAAATGGGCTGGGTGGATGAAGTCTAGTTTTCCACATAATCAGGTCTGCAACCGACCCACCTCCATGTGGTGGGGTGTGGGGGATGTGAGGGGTGATGACAGAGTGGTGGGGACTGGGGAAATTAGAGCACCATGCCTTGTCCTAAGGGGCAAGCCCCATTCAGCTCCAGCCATTGTGCCAGGAAGGGAGGGAGAGCGGGGCCAGACCTTCACATGTTGTAAGAGAAGCCAAAATGTAGGAGTTTTATATCCAATCTTTTCATTTTAAATATTGGCCTAAGTTTTAAGAGTACACTGGTCACACACACCAAAAAACAACACTTCCACACATTAGGTTGATCCTTAGGTTCCCAGCTGTGACTTCTGGCTCAGTAGGTAGGGGGATGGCCTTTGGGGTCTGGGGGACCAGGGTTCCAGTCCTGGCTCTGCCCCTCTCTGGCCCAGCAAGGATTTAACCTCCCTTGGTCTGTAGGGGATAATAAATAGTCCTTACCTTACAGTCTTAGGGAGAGAAAGGAGTAAAATGATACATGGCCTAACAGCTAGTAAGTACTCAGTAAATTATATGTGTGTGTGCATGTTGTGTATTTGTGTATGTGCTGTGTCTTTATTTGTGTATATATGTGTTGTGTCTGTGTATTCATGTATATGCGTACATGCATTCATAGATATGTGGGTGTGTTTTGTATGTATGTGTTGTATGTTATGCATGTACCTGTGTATACACGGTATATGTGTATATATATTTATGTAGGTATGTGTGTTGTGTATGTTGTATAAGTATCTGTGTATGTGTTTTGTATGTATTTCGTGTTAGTGTGTGCGTGGACTTGCATGTGTGTGGTATATGTATTTGAGTTATGTGTTGTTTTTGTGTTTGAGTATGTGAATGGTATATATGTATAGGTATTTGTGTATGTGTGTGTATCTACATGGGTGTCGTGTATGTGTTTGGTATGTGTGTGCGTGTATTGGTGTCTATGGAAATGTTTGGATTTGACCCTGAGGGTAGTTGGGATGGTTGGATGTAAGCAGTGTCAGCTCTTAGACAGACGTTGCCCTGGCAACAGCACGGAGGAAGAGAAATGAATGAACTTGGACAAGCAAGGGATGAGGAGGCATCACCAGCACAAGCAAAAGCACGAGGTGTGGCCTTGGGAGAATGAGTAGAAAGTACGAAGAGGAGACGAGCAATGGCAAAGGCCTCCAGAGACTTAAGGCAGCAGTGAAGGGCACAGAGGGTTCCAACTCCGCAGGCCCTCTTGGGGGCGCAATTCAGACACTTACCTGGAGTACCTGGCATGGAGTAGACCAGGGATCTCCTCCGCTGCCATCGGTAGATCCAGGTGCAGAGAACCACAGTGGCAACATAGAACACGTACAAGCCTAGGTAACCTGAAGAAAAGGGTGCATGCTGTCACCAAGTTCTATCTGTCTACCAGCTAGTAAGTACTCAGGAAATTTTATGTGTTTATACAGGGCCACAAGGCCCAGGGCTACCAGTTCTATTGCTGGCGCCTGTTGGTGGAGACTGTTAGCCAGCCCAGTACCAGTAGGTAGTTGGCCAGTTCCTGGAGCTCCTACCCTGCTTTCCTTGCCAGCCCCCACTCCAAATCCGGTTACCAAGGAGGTAATGCTTAGCACAGACAGTGGCCTCTAGGACTGGATTCAAGTGCTAAGGGTCGGTGTCCTGCTCTATGCCCTGGGAGGCTGAGCCCTGCACAATGCATCCCCCAAGCTCTGGTTGCACTGGGTTTGGCCAATGGGAGTCCTGACAGCCAATCAGAAAGCAGCAGGAAAGAGAGTCTGGGGTACTTATTCCCCTTCCCTCCCTGCCATGGTGCCCTGTCTCTGGGAGGGCCTGATACCTCCATGACTTTCGCCAAGGCTGGGTGGCACCAGGTTTGGGCCTCCAGCCTTTACCAGGTTCCAGCCATTCCCGGCCCCTAAAGGGGCTCCCACTGTTTCCTGGGTGTCTCCATCTTCATGTCCCTTGTTGGTTTCCTTAACCCTCTATAAATTGTCCCCCAGTCCATGTCACTCGAACCACCTGAATGGAATGTGTATGCTGCTGGGACCCTGGTGGCCACAGTCAGCATCCCAGCTGCACTGCTCGTTAAAATTTGAAGTTGTGAAAATCCTGCCCGTTGTCCCAGGCTTCTCCCTGCCGCCTTTGGTTATCTGAACCACGTTCCCCTTTGTGCTCAAGCCAACTTGTGGATTTCTGTCACTTGGAACCAAAAGTAACTCTGTGCCCTGCTGGCCACCCCTTCCTGTCCCCCTGTGCCTCCCACACATCAGCCCTGAGACGACCCCACCCCAGCACTGTGCCTGCTCACCCAAGGCCCATGCCAGCGTGACCCTGCCAAGGTAGAGCGCGGTGAAGGTCAGATACACGGCCACCATGTAGAAAACAATGTCTCTGAGGAAGGGCCTGGAGGCAGCCGTGAAGGGGCGCAGGATGGAGATGCCACCGGCCACCACAGTGGTAACCAGCACGCCCGCACCTGGAGGTGAGGACACGGTGCTCAGCCAGCCCTGCGCTCCCACCTGCTGCCCCGCCCCCTCCAACCGGGGCTGCTCATACCAAACAGGGCCCCAAAGGCCAGGCCAGCTGTGCGTGGGTCCGAGAAAGCCACCAGAGCGCTGAAGACATCAGGTGCACCATTCCCAAAGGCCAGGAAGGTGACGCCATGGGGGAGCATGTCAAGGGGGTTCAGTGCAGGGGTCCCCACCTGCCCAGACCTTTTCTGGGCCAGGAGCTGCCACCCTGTCTCCTGGCCACCCTTCTAACTGCCCTCCCACTCCAGGGTGCCTGGACCTGGACCAAAGGATACTGCCACATTGTGGGAAAGCTTGAGCATGGTGGAAATGGCTGACAAGTTAGGGCAGAAACTATGGAGAAAAAGAAAAGTGAATGTTTCCAGGGTGAGTGGCCCTTACTCCACTCCTTCCCAAAACCCAGGGACAACCGAATGTCAACCCCTTGGGACTCCACTTTCCCATCTATAACCTGGATCTGAGCCCGAGGCCAAACTCACAACTTCTCCGCAGTGACTCCCAGAATCAGAAACAGGTAAAGCAGCCAGAGAGCCTGGGTGGGGGCCAGAGGGGAAAGGGAGCATGAAGGGCAGCCTAGGCCACCAGCCCCTCTCCCCAGCTCCCCAGGGCAGGGCCTACATAGAGGGTGATAGCCAGAGGGAGGAGGCTGGGGTGGAAGTGGCAGAAGATGCCTTCAAGGTAGTCCAGGTAGCCCCCTTCGCTGCGGCAGTCAGGGTTGGTCCTGATGAAGGCACAGCGGTCCGAGACATTCAGGCCACACACATCACGACACTGCAGGAAGGAGGGAGGGACACGTCAGAGCTCAGCATCCCAAGGGTGGCTGCACCAGGCCCACCTAGTAGCTGCAGATTACCTCCTTCAGCCTGGCCTCTAAGCCCCCATACCCTCCAGATGCCAACTGCACACTTTAATTTTTTAAAATAAACTTGTGTTTGAAATTAACACAAGTAATTCATGAATACATGTTTGTTTAAAAAAACACACACAACAATATATAAAGATTTCTAAACTCCCCCTTGTCATCCCTGCCCTCCATAATCCCATCTCTCTTCCCAAATCCCACTATGATCAGTTTGAAGCATATCCTTACAGACATTTCTCAGTTCAATTAATGTGTATACACACCCTATCATAGTTTGTTTCATTTTACAAAACAAGTCCCAGATCTCTTCTTTCTGCAATTTGCTTTTACCACTTCACATGTATGCCATATATTAATATATGGATCACATAATAATGATGAAGAGGATGATAAAGGTCAAACATTCTGAATGATTTCTATATGCCAGGCACAGTGCTAGGAGCTTAAAATGTATCTCGACTTATATGCACAATTTTGTGAGGTAGGTAGTATTATCACACCCATTATACAGATAAGGAGACCAAGGCAATGTTCCAAGGTCTACCCAGTGGTGGAGGCAGGGTTAGAACCCAGGCAGTTTGAGGCTTCAGAACCCTCTCCTTAGCCACCACACTCCACCCCGCTACAGAGTAGCAGCATAGTATTTCATAATTTCATACTAGGATGGTCTCCTAGTTCCCTACTGGTAGGCATTTGGTGGTGTCCAATTTGTCATTATTACCGACGGTGAACTTCCTTGCATATGACTCTGAGACTCTCTGAGCACATGTGAGAGTATTTTGTCAGAGAGAATTCTAGAACTGAAAGTGCTGAGTCAGAGCATTTCCTAGCCTGAGACCCTCCAGAAGTAACTCTGAGACAGTGATTTATAAGCAAGCATATATTTGGGAGGTGAACTGAATAAGAGCATTGAAATGGGGAAAGTAGGACAGGGAAGGGAAAGCAACCAATGAAGGCTGGGCTGAGGCAGCTCCCACCTTGGGCTAGTAATCCCAGGGGCCTGGGAGCTGGGGTGTTTATACACCAACTTCTATCAGTCATCACGCAGGGGGGACTGGAGAGAGAGGGGCTAGTTCCCCAGCACTTCTTGCCTACCATGCTTATAGGGGATTCTGGAAAAAGATGTTGGCAAGTAGAAGGCAACAGAAACCCACCAAAATGGTAGGGTCCAAAGAATTATGGGCAGGGCCCTGACAGTGCCTATTGCAGAGGGATAAATATCTTAAACATCAGATGGATTTTGCTAAAACACCCTCCCAAAGCTCTATTCATACACACTCCCACCAGCAGTGGGAAACGAGTTGTTCTGCACCTGTACAGATGCTGGCTGCTCCAAGTCTGCTTCAGGCCAAGGTGGTAGGAATCTCCATGTTGTTAAACTGCAAGTCCCTGATCACTTGTGAAGTGTTCTTTTCATATGTTAAGGGTTGTATTCCTTCTTTAAACTGCCAGGTTTTTCAACTAGAATATTTGCTCCTTCATATTGACTTGTAGATGCTCTTTACGTAATGGACCCTAGCCCTTTGTCAGGTCATTCATTTGCTTTGGCAATGCCCTCTGCCTAAAAGGCCACCCTTCTCAAAACTTTTGTTTGAAAGTTTTGTTAATACCACCTCACATCCATTAGCGTGGCTCTTATGTAAAACAAACAAATAAAACCAGAAAATGACAAGTGTTGGTGATGGGGAGAAATTGGAACCCTTGTGTACTGCTGCTGGGAATATAAAGTGGGTGTAGCTACAGGGGAAATCAGCATGACAGTTACCCCAAAATTAGAAAGAGAATTACCAGCACTAGGGATGTAACACGATGACTAGAGCTAATGACTATATGAGGTGATGGGTGCTAACTAAATGTACTGAGGTCATCATGTAACAACGTATTATGATGTATACCTAAATCATTATGCTGTATACCTTAAACTTATACATTGCTGTATGTCAGTTCTATTTCAATGAAACGGGGGGTAAAAATCGAATTATCATATGATCCAGCAATCCACCTCAGGGTATATACAAAAAGCAATTGAAACCCAGATCCCAAAGAGATATTTGCACAGCTAGTTCATAGCAGCACTATTTGCAACGGCTAAAAGGTTTAGAAGCACCCCAAGTGTCCATCAGTGAGTGAAGAGATAAACAAAATGTGGCATGCACATACAATCGAATATTATTCAGCCTTAAAAAGAAAGAAAATTCTGACACAGGCTACAACATGGATGAACCTTAAGAACTTACACTAAGTCACAAAAAGCCAAATACTGTGTAATTCTATTTGTATGAGGTAACTGGAGTCCTCAAACTCAGAGACAGAAAGCAGAAGGTGGTTTGCCAGTGGCTAGGGGAGGTGGAAATGGGGAGGTGTTTAATGGGTAGAGTTTTGGTTTTGCAAGATGAACACGCTCCAGAGCTGGATGTCGGTGACGGTTGCACAATAATGTGAATGGACTTAATGTTACTGAACTGTGCAACTTAAAAATGGTTACGATAGTGAAGTGTGATGTAAACTTAACCATAATTTTTCTAAAAAGCTTTGTCAGAGCATGGCTCCACTCCCACCACAAGCCCTCTCTGAACTCCTACCAACACCAAACTGGAGGTACAATTTCTTGTCTCTGAGCCCTCTGGCCATCTCCCCACCCCTTCCTCAACAGCTGTCTGTGGATGCAACCCTGAGCCCTCTGTTCCTGGTTCATGTGCTGTTCCTCTGACTGCCACAACCCTCCCTCCTTTTCTGCAGTTAACAATCCAGATTCATCCTCCAATTCTTAGTTCCCACGATGCTTTGTCCAGGAAGCCTTCCCTGATTACCACAGCCTAGGGCAGTTCCCCTCGTTATGAGTTGTCATCACTTCAGGTCTTCTCCAAAGTACTGACCATTTTTGAAATCCCCAGTTACTTGTAAGATCACAGACTTATTTAATGTTTGCCTCTCCCACCAGACCGGCACAGTGTCCAACACACAATAGGTCCTCATAACTGTTTCACCACACACTGTACTGGGCACTACCTCACTCACTCAGTCTTGAGGACAGACCTGGAGATTGGTACAATTGCTTCTACCTCACAGGTGAAAAAACCACAGCACAGTGGTACAGTGACTTGCCCGAGGGCACAGAGCCCACCACTCCTGCGTAGTTTCAAACTTGGCTCTGCTTGGCAGTGACCAGTGGAAGCTCCTGGGGCAACAGCTCAACTGGGCAGGGGCAGCCTCCCTCCTCTCCCCATCCTCAGGCTCAGCCAGGGAGGATGCAGGGAGATGCCCCCATCCGAGCTTGCCTCCATCTCCCTGATGGCAGAGGGAGCCAGGAAGGCGGGCCCCCCGGATCTGGCCTCCAGAATCACCTTCCTCTGCAGCCAGCCCACCCCCACCCAAGCTGGTCAGCCCTCTCCGAGGCCCAGGAGAACCCGGCCCAGCTCCCTGCCATGATGCAGCCCAGTTAGGGTGGCACTGCTCTGAGTCTCCAGCGAGTGACTTTCCAGTCTGCCCCTTGCCCTCTCATGCTCTTCCCTGAGTCACGACGGACACCCAGTAACACATTTGGCTCTTTCTTGGCTCTGACCAAGTTCCCCTCCCTGAGCTCAGCATCCTCATTTATAGCACAGAGATAAGCACACTCATCTCAGGAGGAATGGGGAAGATCTGGTGAGTTTGGCACAGTGCTGGCCGAAGCACTCAGTAACTTGGAACAATTATCAGGCATGAGCCAAAGATAACCCCAGTTTTCCTGCCTGCAAGAAGTATCCCCAAGGGGCAACAGTCAATTTTATAACCACACAAAACACTTTCCCATCTGTAAAATGGGTGTAACTACCTGTCTGCCTGCCTTGGAGGGTGGGCATGAAGGCACTTTGCAGCTCTCTAAAGTTGGTACAGGCACTAAATCCTCTTAGCCATTTGGTTCAAGAAGAGAGGAGCTTGTTGTTCCATTCTCCCAGGAATGACGAGAACTCCGGGCCCCTGCAGCTGGAGGGGACTCCAGGGGGGGCCCTCTTGAGCCTGGCCTGCCATCTTTCACTGAGGACCCGCTGTGACCACTCCTCCCCTTCCAGACACTGGAATGCAATGATGCAAGTTCCTGTGGCATGTCTCAATGGTCTGTACCCTCCCTGCTTTGGGAGGACTTTCTGCCTCTCACCCAACTGTCCCTATTGCTCCTCCATCCATGCATGTTAGTCAATAGCACCACCATCCCCCCAGTTGCTAAAAGCCAGAAATCAGGAGCCATCCTTGACTCTTCTTTTTCCCACCACCACACCCCTCTATCTAATCCATATCCCACTTGTGCCTCCAACATTTACCTCAGACCCCACACTTCTTTCCTGTCTCCCACAGCCACCATCACTCGCCTGCATGGCTGCAGAAGCCTCCTGGCCATCACCCTTACCCCTCTTAATCCATTCTTCCCAAAGACAGAGAGATCCTTTGAAGAAATAAATCAGATTTTGACATCCCTCTGCTTGAAACCCTCCACTGGCTCCCTGCTGTTGTAAGCAGATCTCACCTCCTACCTTCAGCCTATAAGGCCTTATGTAAGTGGTGGTGGAGGCCACCACTTCCTCTCCACCCTCAGCTCTCTCCCCACCACTCACCTTGTTCCAGCCATTCTGGCCTCCTCACTGCTCCAGGAACATGTTCCTTCTGTCGGGAATGCTCTTCCTCTAGGTGTCTGAGTAAGTGGTTTCCTCTCTCCATTCAGGATGACCTTGGCTCAAAGGTCACCACCTCGCAGAAGCCATCTGTGACTACCCAATCTGAAATGCTTGGAAATACACTCTCCCCCTCACAGTTCCCACTCCCCAATATCACTTCATCCTATTATTTGCAGGGCGCACTTAGCATCTTACCACCTAAAATGTACATGTCTACTTTATCTGTCTTCCAGGGAAACTTAGCTCCATGAGGCAGGGAGTTTTGTCAGTATTATTCCCTGGTATATCCTAGGGTTCAGTTCAGTGCCTGACACATAGCAGATGCTTAATAAATATTTGTTGTTGACTGGATGAATACGCCCCTACCTGATGCCAGTTTCATGCCTGGATACTCACATCTACCATGGGGGTCTGGTTCACACCTGCGGCTGAAAACTGGGGGCTAATGAGGGCCCGTGGAAAAGGGCCCCTGGCCCCGGACACTGTCTCCACCATCGGCAGCATGCAGAGGGAACTGAGCACCTAGCGCAGATTCAGGGACCCGCTGGCTGGCGGCCCCCACAGGGCCTGGCCCTGGCTTTGCTTCCCCTTCAGCAGTGTTTTGCTTCCAAACAGCTGGCAGCTCCTGTGGCCTGCAGGGTGGGGTGAGAGGAGGGACAGTGTCACTGAAGACCCCAGGACCCTGCAGGAGGGGACTGAAAACTTTTTCAGCTGGGAAACTGCCAGCTCTCCTCCCCCATCAAAGGAAAGTCCATGTAGAAAGCCATGTTCTGGATGGAGGTTCTTTGGAGGGACCAGTGCCCCCCTCATTTGGCATGCAGATTAGACATGCCCCCTTCTTCCTAAGCCCCCAATACTGTCACCATGGAAACCTAGACCCCCAACCTACCCCTCCCAGCCTCCTATCCCCTTACTGCGCCAGCCTGAGGCCAGAGTATCAGGGCTAGAAGGGAATATCCTAAGACTCCAGGAGATTCTGCCTCCAGGAGCCCACTGCGGGGGACAAATATAGGAAGAAGTGGGCAGTGTGGGGCCTTAAAACAAGGAAAATCTACTTCTGGGGGAGAACTTGGTGTCTAGGCTACCAGTCTGGGACTACTAAGCAGTGCTGTTCTCAGTCTTACAGCGAGCCAAGCACTTAGCACAGATGACTTCATTTAATCCCTACACCCGGCTGTTCCCATTTTACAGATGAGCCAGCTGGGGCACACGGCCAGGCCTGTCACCTCAGTCCTGGCCACCGCCTCCCTCATCTAGTCCTCAAGACAGGTTTGGAGATGTTATTGTCCCCACCCCTTTGAGAGGAGGGAGCTGGGCTCAGAGGGCGTGCCCTCATCATAAGGCAAAGAGGTCCAGAAGCCAACAGCTCCTCTGATGGGGAAATTGAGGCCCAAAGGGAAGTGAATTGCTCAAAATCACACCACAGCCCGTTAGCCGCAGAGCTACGTTTAGCATCTGCCTTTTCCCTCAACACCAGGGCAAAATTAGCCTCATTTTTCTTCAAAGAAATTAAACTGGGGAAATAAAAGCCCTGGCACACTCATTTCCTTCTTTGTTCTTCCACTTGCTATAGATGAGTATGTTTTATTTATGCCATCAAGATAAACAAAGTCCAGAAAGCAACGTGGTGGTTTCTTTCTTACTTTTTTCTTTTTTTTTCTTTGTAATTCTTTGCAGAGACGGGTCTCAAGGTCCTGACAGGAGAGGGACAGGAGGCCCAGAGTGGGAGGAGGAGGGAGGAGGAACCCAGGAGTGGAGGGGGCTCCCAGCACCTTCCTCACCTGTTGACTCTTGCCTCTTCTGTTCTCCCGAACTCCGCACCTCCTTGGAACCGGACACTCCAGGTTTCCAATTCACTCTCATCCACTTACGAACGAGCTGTGCAGCCTTGAGGAAGTCACTTCACCTCTCTGAGCCGCTGATTCCTCATCTGTAAAATGGAGACAAATGAGGCTCGTCGGAGCATACAATAAGGGCTCGCGCCCCTGGTGTTCCCCACTTAAGCATCAGGGCGCGTCTGCTCTCTAGCAGCCGTCGATTTCTCCAACTCATACACAAGGGAGCATTTATGGAGCGCCTCCCACGCGCCTGTCCCGGGCCAGGCGCTCAGACTCCCAGAACTGCAGTCCTGATAGGAAGTGGAGGGGACAGGAAACTGGGGCTGCAAGTATTTTTGCGGCTACACTTTCTAGATGCGAGTCCCCGGGCAAGTCAATATGTTGTTTCCCAATCGGACCGCGGCTGACAGTTGAACTGTTGAACTTCGAGTGCCCGGTTGTCTGGGGGCGTCTGGTGGGCGGCTCCTCTTACCTCTGGCTGGGCCTCGGACCAGCAAACAGCAAACCTCGACCCCGCCAGGCCTCGCAGTCTTCCCAGCCCCCACGAGGCCGCCCGTACGCTCCTGGCCTGGGGGGGGGGGCCCCGCCCGCTGCAGCGTCCGGATTCTTCTGCTCAGCCCCGGCTCGACCCGCTCGGCCCCGCCCCGGGGACACACCCCAAAGGCTCGCCCCGCCCCTGACCTTAAAGGTACAGGCTCCGTGGAGGTAAGTGGCTGGAGAGGGACAGTCACTTGGTGAAGCCAGTGGTTTTTATACCCGAGGGAGGAGTGTGCGAGGGGGGTTCAAAATGCCCCTGTGATCAAGGTCAAGGTCTGGCGGGGAACCGCTCACCCAGGAATATTCCGGCTGACCTGCCTGAAATGCCGGACCTCCTGCGGGTTCCCCATTTCCCAGTACTAGCATCACTTTTAAAAGAAGATGGCAAATCGGTCGAGACCGGAGAGTTGGTGATCTCCTCGCCCTTACGGAGATAGTCCACCTCCCCAGTTTCCCAACCCCCTGGGGAAATTCTGGTCCTCTCTGTCTTTTCTTCTGCTGGGGTGGGGTGGGGTGGGGTGGGGACGAGGCTGGGACAAGCGTTCCCACACCCGACCCCAGCTCCTGACAGTGGACACACGACCCTCTGTCAGAGTCCGCTCTGCTTCCCCATCACCTGCGCCCTGCGGAGCCCCGCGTCCCAGACCCCTCACCGTTCAGCCCCAGCGCAGCTTTCCTACCTCTTCTCTAACCCCCACTTCCACCTCCTGCCTCTCTGGCCCCGCAACAGCTCCCCATTCTCAGAGCATCCTGCTGCTGACACATGGGCAAACCTCTGCTCCTTCTGCGGCCCCCACCCTTCCCTTTGCCAGCTGACCAACTCTTATTCATGGGCCAGGACAGCTCAAATACCACCGCATTTGGGTGGTCTTCCACGCTTCTCCCTGCAACTCCTACTGAACAACCTCCATCCTCTCTCACCAAACCACGTTCCTTACCTTCAGAGAGAGCACCCCTTAGTTCCCCACTCTGGGATGCATGACACTGTAGTCCAGAACACGATATGTTTGGAATCTCAGAGCATCAGGTTTCTGTGTGACCTTTGGTAGACACACTCTCTGAGCCTCAGTTTCCTTCTCTGTAAAATGGGGATGATAATAGTACTTACCACATGAAGTCCTTGCAAGATTAAACACAGCTCTGTGTCTAAAGCCTCAGACCCCATGTCTGGAGCTGAATCAATATTCCCTGGCTGGAAGGCGTCATTGCGCATATTATTCCATTAATCCTATACTGTAACACCGCACATGCCTGTTCCCTGCAGGCTGGGAGCCTCCCACTGCAGGGTGCAGGCCTAGCTCATCCCCACATCTTGGTGGCCAGAACAGGGGCGCCCACAGCTAATGTCTGTGTTGGGGAATGACTGAGCCCACTTTGGGGTCAGCTGCTCACCACTGCTTGGGGAAGTAGCTCCAGAACTGCTGAGTTTGAAGCCAAAGTTCTTCCCTGAGGGGCCCTGACTCTGGTCCTCAGGGGCCCAGCCACAGTGAGAACTCCATGTCACCATCCTAGGTCAATGGGGCAGGCAGATCACTACTTCCTTGTCTCCCAGGGACTGGGGTGGGATGGAGACAGTGGGGGGAGCATGAGTGTGTGTTGAGATACCTGGAAGATTCAAGGGAGGAGAATAAACAGTGGGAGAGAGAGGGGCGACAGCTGGGCCTGGGACACAGCTTCTGGTTCACCCGTGCTCTGGTGGACTTTGACCAGTGTTGGGACCCATTTCCGGGTCTGGGAAAGGCCGTTTTGACAGGTGCAGCCTCAGAAGCCACTGAGATCCAGGTTCAAATCCCAGCTCTGCCATTTGCTAGCTATTTGACCCTGGACAAGTCTTTGCATGTTTTTTAGGCTGTTTTCTCAACTGAAAAATGAGGATGATGATAGCTTCTATAGGCACTCATAGGACTGTGGTCAGGATGCACTGAGATCAATATACAAACCCATAGCCCACTGCCCTGCTTGTAAAAGCTGAATAAATGGAAGCTGCTATTAGTAGTTAGTAGTATGACAGTAAAAGAACCTGGCACAGTGTCTGGCACACAGCAGATGAAAAATGTTGATTTTGAATGATGGGTTTGGCACTTGCCTCAGTTATCTATTACTGTGTCACAAACCACCCCAAAGCTTAGATGCCTAATACAACAACATTTTATTATCTGCCAGGGTTTCTGAGAGTCAAGAATTCGGGCAGGGCCCAGCTGGGTGGTTCTGGTGCAGGTCTCTCATGTGGTTGCAGTTACGTGGCTGGGCTGGGCTGGCTGCGGGCTGCCTGGACGGTCCTCTTCATGGAGTCTCAGGGCCACTCCCTGTGATCTCTCTGCATAAGCTGGTCTCTGGGCTTCCTCAGAGCATGGCAATCTCAGGCAGACAGACGGCTCAGATGGCAGAGCCAGGATCTGAGGCAGCTCAGGGGACCTGCGCAAGGGCTCCAGGGAACAAGGAGGAAGCTGTACTGCCTTTTTTGACTCAGTTGTGGAAGGAACACTGTGTCACATAGTCATAGGTCCACCCAGATTCACAGAAAGGAAACGTAAACTCCCTCCCTGGGAGGTATGTCAAAGTCACATTGTAGGAAGAGTTTGTAATATGTAAGCTCTCAATCTGGCTACATTTGGAATATATGATTCTGCCACCTTAATGCCTTAATCCCCAGAGGTGACTAATGATGGATATTTAGGCAGCCTGATAAGCAGTGGAGGGAAGCTATATTTTGGAGATAGGAGGAGAAAGGACCCTCAAATCTCATTGGCTGGACAGCTGCCTACAGCATCACATGCAGGCTGGTCCTGTCCTCAGAGTCTTATGAACAAACCCAAACCAATAAAAATAAATGATGACTATTTATTGAAGACTTAACATTTACATTGCGTGTTCACAGGCTAGTCCCATTTAACAGCTCTATGGGTGATGCCTACAGTGATCCCCATTTCACAGAGGAGGAAAACAGAGGTTCAGGGGACAATCTGAACTGTTCCCAAGGCACCCAATGAGAAGTGGCAGAGATAGAATCTGCATGCAGGTCTGCGTGACCCCCAGTGATTCCCCCATCACCACCATGGGCCAAGTGTCCTGCATCACTCAGAGGAAAGGCAGATCTGCCCAACACTCAGCACCCCTGTCCAGGTGGCCCAGGTCATGGGCAGCAGGTCTAGAAACAGTACAAGTTTGTGGGGTGAGTGTGAGCAGAAGGGTTGAAGGGGAACTTAAAAGAGGAAACAGAAAGAATCAGAGCTCTGAAAGAACCCTCAGCTCTGCTCTGAAGGTTTTTGAACAGCCTTTTGGTTAGCTGAATTGGCCCAAAGACTTAGAAGGTTCCTTAGGGGTGCCTGAACCTCCCCTTACCAACGCAAGTTCCTACTTGACCATAGCGCCCTGAGCGGTCACACCCCACCAATTTAAACCCCTAGGCTCAGGTGCTCATTACCCACCACAGCAGCTCAGTTACCAGGGGACAATACCCACTGTGAGGAAGTGTTTTCATTGGCATTGCCCAGAGGAGTCTCCATGGGAATAATCCTTCCAGAAAGTGACTTGGCAATTAAAAGCCTTGAAAATCTATGTGCCTCTTGTGATGCCCATGTTGCTCCTGGAGCTCTTCTGAAGTAAAGAAGAGAGGATCTGGACAGTGCTGTAAGCACAAGAATGTTTACCACAGCAAAACTCATGATTGTGCAACAGTTGAAAATACCTAGAAGTCCAGCAACAGTGCTTGAGTAAATAGTTTCTAGGATCTTCTATGGAATGTTGCAGCGCAGCCATTTAACATTCTGTTTCATTCTTCTCTGCCTTTTCCTTCTCCTCTTCCCCCTCCTTCTTCACAGAGATGAAGTCTGCCTCTCTAGAACATACCCTACCCACCTGAGTTCTGGCAGTGCCTCCTGGAAGCAACTTAGACCATATGTGCAGTGCAGAAGTTAGAAGAATGCTGAAGTCCTTCAGAGAAGGGGGGATGAGGCCAGAGACAAGTCCACCCACCCCTGCTCCTTGATTTTCTTCCTGGCTCCACCCTAGTGCTGTAGACCCCATCCCCTGCTCTGGGGGAACATCTCGTTCATCCATTGCCACCTGATAATCCACATGTACTCTGCTTTGTTGTCTCTAGATTGGGGCTTATAACTTATTTGCTTGCTTGCTTAGTTTTTTTTAATGTTTTATTGTGGACTGTATTATATATGCAAAAAGGGGCAAATATAGTTATTCACAGTTAAAAATAATAAAATGAACATGCAAAAACCCTCCATACAAGTTAAAAATCAGAACTATATCAGCACTGTATGAGTTCTTAAAGTCACCGTCAACCTCATGATTGTGTAAATTATTCTTTCACTATATGTACAAAACTTTCTTTTGTTTTATATACATATTTGTAATTTATAATATGGTATTTCATATCTAGCACATGTGATAATAAAATAAATGTATGATGTGTTATACTGTAGAGTATATATAAATATAATGCATATTATATATATTATATATACAATAGATTTTGCATATTTATATAGCTTTGCCACTTTATAAGTATTCCTAAGCAATGATTTGTTTTGTTTTGTCTGTCTTTTCCCTTTACATAAATGGAACAGGATTTTGTATATTTTTCAGCTATTTGCTTCTTTCTTTTGCCATCCTGTTTTTGGGCTTCATCCCTTTCTTCCTGGATGACTGCACTTTACCCATTTTCACTGCTGTGTAGTAGCTCATTGCATGACTCTAACAGGGTTTATCTATCCATTTTTCTGTTGATGGCTGTATGTGGGTTGTTACCAGGTTTTTACTACCAAGGTCATCTTTTTGCATTTCTCCTGGTGCATTTATAAAAGAATTTTTCTAGAATATTGTGTCAGCCAGGGTTCAACGAGAGAAATAGCCATTAAGAGGTATATGTTAAGAGACTGATCGAAAGGAATGGATTTACGTGCCTATTGGGGCTGGGTGGGCTGTCTGGAATGTCTTGGGCATGGAACATGCACAGTGGAATTTCCTCTTCAGGGAAGCCTCAGCTCTCCTTTGAAGGGTTTTGAACAGATTGGATCAGGTTCAGGTTCACCCATATGATCTAGGGTAGCCTCCTCACTTAGAGTCAACTGATTAGGACTTTAATCACAT